TCCTGTTGTAAGGTGAACCTTTGCCCCAGTCTGAGGTCCTGAGCGCTCTGGAGCAGGTTTTCATCAAGGATCTCTCTGTACTTTTCTCCATTCATCTTTTCCTCGATCCTGACTAGTCTCCCAGTCCCTGCCGCTGAAAAACATCCCCACAACATGATGCTGCCACCACCATGCTTCACTGTAGGGATGGAGCCAGGTTTCCTCCAGACATGACACTTGGCATTCAGGCCAAAGAGTTCAATCTTGGTTTCATCAGACCAGAGAATCTTGTTTCTCATGGTCTGAGAGTCTTTAAGTGCCTTTTGGCAAACTCCAAGCGGGCTGTTATGTGCCTTTTACTGAGGAGTGGCTTCCGTCTGGCCACTCTACCATAAAGGCCTGATTGGTGGAGTGCTGCAGATATGGTTATCCTTCTGGAAGGTTCTCCCATCTCCACAGAGGAATTCTGGAGCTCTGTCAGAGTGACCATCGGGTTCTTGGTCACCTCCCTGACCAAGGCCCTTCTCCCCCAATTGCTCGGAGCTCTACGGACAATTACTTCGGCCTCATGGCTTGGTTTTTGCTTTGACATGCACTGTCAACTGTGGGACCTTACAGGTGTGTGCCTTTCCAAATCATGTCCAATCAATTGAATTTACCACAGGTGGACTCCAATCAAGTTGTGGAAACATCTCAAGGATGATCAATGGAAACAGGTTGCACCTAGCTCAATTTCGAGTCTCATAGCAAAGGGTCTGAATACTTATGTAAATAATGGCATTTCTGTTTAAAATTTTCCATAAATTTGCAAACATTTCTAAAAACCTGTTTTCGCTTTGTCATTATGGGGTATTGTGTGTAGATTGATAAAGATTTTGATTCATTTAATCCATTTTAGAATAAGACTGTAACGTAACAAAATGTGGAAAAAGTCAAGGGGTCTGAATACTTTCCGAATGCACTGTATCCTACAAACATCGGCTTCTCTGGCATCATCACTTAAACAATGACCTCCAAGGTCTCCCACTCCACTACTGCATTTCCAGGTTATTCTTTTTTACACAAAAACTTATTTTGAACTGGTTCCTACACTGAACTACTGAATTGCTGTATTTAAAGGTCCGGTGCAGTCAAAAACGTGATTGTCCTGTGTTTTATATACATTTCCACACTATGAGGTTGGAATAATACAGTGAAAGTTATGATAATGCCCTTTTAGTGTAAGAGCTGTTTTAAAAGACCGCCTGAAATTTCAGCCTGTTTTGGTGGGATGGAGTTTTTTGGCCTTCCATGGTGACATCACCATCCGGTAAATGTGTTAATAGACGGATAAGAAAGACAGTTCCAAACCTCTCTGCCAATAACAGCTAACTTTCAGTTTTCCCCTCCCCACTCAGACCCCCCCCACCCAGACAGTCCTAGCTAAATTCTTGCTTGAGAAATTGCTCTTTGCTTTGAAGCTTTTTTTGTTTCTTTTTGACTATTTAATTGTTACCCAAATTCACTCACTTATCAAGAGAACATCCCTGGTCATCCCTACTGCCTCTGATCTGGCGGACTCACTAAACACAAATTATTCGTTTGTAAATTATGTCAGTGTTGGAGTGTGCCCCTGGCTATCCGTAAATTTTAAAAAAAAACAATACAATTGTGCCTTCTGGTTTGCTTAATATAAGGAATGTGAAATGATTTATACTTTTACTTTTGATACTTAAGTATATTTAAAACCAAATACTTTTAGACTTTTACTCAAGGAGCATTGTACTGGGTGACTTTCACTTTTCCTTGAGCCATTTTCTAATAAGGTATCGTTACTTTTACTCAATTGGGTACTTTTTCCACCACTGGTGTGTGTGTGTGTGTGTGTGTGTGTGTGTGTATTGGGTACTTTTTCCACCACTGGTGTGTGTGTGTGTGTGTGTGTGTGTGTGTGTGTGTGTATTGGGTACTTTTTTCCACCACTGCCTTTTACATTTCCATTGTGGCCCTTTAGGAACAGAAATTGCCCCTATGATTGCCCCATGGCAGTTTTATGAAGATGTTTATGATACCTGTACGATTGAGAGACCAGGAAAGCGCTGTGTGTGTGTTTACAGCACCAAACTAGGCCGTTCTAGCCCCTGGTCTAGCTTAGCCTCTCTCTCTCCCAGTAATGGATTCCTGTCCAGTAAAAATGCGTCGCAAACTTATCTCGGGAGAGTAATGTATTTGTCCGTTTCGAGTGGAGGAGGGGGGGGGGGGGCGGGTGTCGGACAGCAGAGGAGGAATGGCCTTGTGGGGGGAGATATATCGATGCAGACGTTTTCCCATTACCAGGGCCTCCCAGCGCCTAAACAGCCACCCGGGGTGGATTCCGCCGCCGAACGGGCTGACGTGATCTAAATGAAATGCGGTTGGTTTTTCCAGCAACGCAGCTACACCACCTCCGACCCCGATGGAGGTAAATAAATACGTTGTCGCTTCGCTTCCCAGTCCTGCCGACCGCCGTAGGGAGAGAGACAGGAGAGAATGAACAAGAGGGTTTCAGACAACGCATTTGATGTTGTCAGAGGTGTATCATCATGCCAGGGGACAGAACCAAGCCATACCATCCTGATGCAGGTGGACTTATGGCCCTGCACGCAGAATTACACATTCAATCTGTTCCCTTCAATAAAATTAATAATCTACCCTTGCCAAACGATAGTCTAAAGTCATATTCTTCCAAATCAAGGAGTCTATTTAATTTATTGAAATTACTGTAAATCTTCTAGACTGGGGCTTCAAAATCACCTGACCCCAATGACATGACATGACCTTTAACATTTACTTCTGAGTGAATGTTGTGATTGTGATATTAATAGCTTACTGCCCTCTAGTGGCGTAAACAGGTTTTGTTTCGCTGGTACCATAGTTGGTGCACAGTAAATGTTAAGAGAAACTGAATATTTGCGAAATTGTCGTGTTTCCTTACAACAAAGACATTTAAAAAAGCTGAATAATTTTCCGAATAATGCACGATATATAATTGCGCACAGTTATTAAACCAATTCAAGCGCTTAATTTGAGCCGGATCCTGGCACCTCTCCGTTTAGGCCTGATTCACTTCCTATGATATCTCTCCCTCTCTCTGCTCTGACAGACATTGAGCCTGCAACTCCCGTCTCTACAGCGTTGCGCTTCATCATTTATTACCGTATAGAGCCGCGCGAAGGGTTCTGGAGGAGCTGCAACACGCCTGATAAATTTAAATACATTTGCTAAAGTTATAGAGTTACTACTGTCTGTTCAGAAATAAACAAAATAATTCAGAATAGCACCATGAGAAAGCCTAACATTTACCCTAGCTGTGGATTGTATCCCAATAACAAGGCATAGCCTACAGTCGGGAACGCGCAGCAAATCTGTCAGTAAAAAAACAGCACGCAGGCAAACAGGCCTTTCGCAATATTTCGCATAGTCTACAATAGCGGAAGACACAGGTTGGAAAGCAAATGGCTCCTGCTGAAAAGAGAATACCAATTTGTCAGCTGTAGGCTACCAAGATATTTGATTAACTTCCAAATAGTGTTTTACAAAGTAAAACGAGAGAGAGAGAGAGAGAGAGAGACAGACAGAGAGATTGAGAAAGAGAGAGAGAGCGAGAGAGAGAGAGAGACAGAGAGATTGAGAAAGAGAGAGAGAGCGAGAGAGAGAGAGAGAGAGAGACTTTTGGGACGAGCACATATGCAATCACCAGCGAGTGAGCTGAGCATCATTGGGTCTGTCAGTGAAATTGGAAAGCATTTTTAGGACTATAATTTCCTCCTCATATTGTAGCCTACAATATGTCTCCACACACCTAGGCCTAGGCTATTGACGTATTCAAGACAAGGTCGTTTTCATTGATCTCAGATTCTCAGTTTGTCAGTGTCAAAGTAGCCCGCCATTTCGATCATTTGTGCAGTATGATGGCACTTTCAAGACAACTGTGAACTCTGAAAAGGTTGAATCGTGACGTCAGTGATCTTCAGGTCGGAAAGTCGGAGCTCTAGAAAGAGGCCAGAGTTCCCCACTTGGAATTCTGAATTTTCCCAGTCTCGTTTTTTCTCTTTCCCAGTTGTCTTGACCGCACTGAAGTCGGAGGTCGGAGATTTGCCAGCTCCGAGTTCCCAGTTGTCTTGACCTCACTGAAGTCGGAGGTCGGAGATTTGCCAGCTCCGAGTTCCCAGTTGTTTTGAACGCGGCATTAAAAAAGATTATGCCCCGGGCGCGGTGCACGCTGACTCGGTCGCCAGGTGTACGGTGCTTCCTCTGACACATTGGTGCGGCTGGCTTCCGGGTTAAGTGTCAAGAAGCAGTGCTGCTCGGTTGGGTTGTGTTTGGGAGGACGCACGGCTCTCGACCTTCGCCTCTCCGGTGTCCGTCCGTGCAGCGATGGGACAAGACTGTAACTACCAATTGGATACCACGAAATTGGGGAGAGAAAGGGGGTAAAATACAAAAAAATAAGATTATGCCAAAGTCTCCAGTCATGTAAAATGACGTAGAATTACATTAAATGCGTTTATAAAAGGCCAAATGTTTTCCCAGACCCTAGGCCACAAAATATTTGTCCTATGTGTCCAACTTCTGTAAGTGCCTCAACGCTACTGCTCTATGCCACTACGCAAATGTGATGATATGCATGCAATGTAGCTCAGTTGGTAGAGCATGGCGCTTGCAACGCCAGGGTTGTGGGTTCGATTCCCACGGGGGGCCAGTATGAAAAAAATTAAAATGGGGGGAAAAAAGTATGCACTCACTAACTGTAAGTCGCTCTGGATAAGAGCGTCTGCTAAATGACGTAAATGTTAAATGTAAATGCTTTATTATAAAGTTTTTTCTTTCTCATGTGTTCGGGTACCTCAGGTCTACCCCATCTTGTGCTCACTTTTTGTTCCGGCGCCTCCCGTTTACAAATTAAATCACTGTAGCTAGCTACAAAAAAGGCCATCGCGCGACTGAGCTAGTAGCCTAGCTATTTTATCCATGTAGCTAGTAGCAGTTGAACTATGTCAACGATGAGGTATGTGACACAGAGACAAGCCAGCCAACCCCTGCACAATAAGTTAGTGGTCATTTGGTGGCTCAGGTGAGTGCAGCAGTCGTCTGGGGAGATGGATCATGTGTGATTGACTTTTTGAAAAGTTTTGTTTTTAACACACATCATGTGCATTTCTTTACATCCAAACCAATTTCCCGAGAATCCTTATAGGATATGTAAATGTGTCTCATTCACAATTTGACAAGCACTTGATAATGCCTCAAATTTCCCGGTTGCATCCCCTTTGTGTGGCCGTAACGCCCTCAAAAAAAAAATCCATGCCTTTTGCGGCCAGTGGCCGTTGTGCCCTTGGGCTGAATATAGTAATTATAATTCCCTTCTCCCGGCTGTGTGCTGAAGCACCTCTCACTCATATGGCTCTCTGTCGTGTGATCGGGTCTTTCTCACAGGCTACAAGTGAAGACAGACACATCGGGGACGCAACTGCACGTGTCCTTATCCAAATCTGAGGCGCATATTGAAGATATTGGAAAAACTGTCCACATTTACTTTTCTTCAGCCAACAAGATGAGTAGGTCAAACGAACAGCAAAAGCACTAGCCTATGTCAATCTACTATCCCCCGTAGTACAAAAGTTGACCTATTCTATTCTGTGAGAGAAATAAATACTCCAAACATAGTCTGGGACAGTTGTGGGATGCAATAGATCCCAAATTAATACAACCACTAGCATCAAAAAACCTGTTTTAAGCAATTAGCCTGACGCAACAGATGAGAACGTTTAGCTTAAAATGTTGATAAACTATTAGGCTATTTCTTCACATTATAAGCGCAGCAATGCGCACACGGCAGTAGACTATAAGCGCAAATGTTCCATCAGCAGGAAAACACCATTCTCAAAAGTGACCACAAATGCAATTATGCATGTAATGCTTTTATGGGGGAAATTATATTCCCCAAACTTGAAACTCATGCGCTGCGTATGTATTCCAGTTAAGCCTCGATCACACCGACAGTGTCATTGCATTTTTGATACACCAGAAGTACATGCATTTCCAATGGAACGCTGCGTTTGCCTTGCAGCATTGAGCGTATACGTCAAACTATGCGTAGACGGCTTGACAGAAATGGTAGCAGAAGGTGAATGTTGAACTTTTGTTGCACACATATCCAGTTGATGCTGCTACTATTTTACTCAAAAGACACTATCGGTGTGATCAAGGCATTAGGCTCTACACCTGTTGTAAAACGGATTAAGTTATTTGGCCACTTTAGTTGTCATACAACCTTATCAAAACATATATAGGCCTATGGGCTAGGCTACATGAGGTGTGCGACTACGATTAGAAAAAGTCGCAAAAAAAAGGCGCTGTTTCTTGCCTTACGCTGGGCATCATTCACAAGTGATAATATATAATTCACAAGTGATAGGCTAATATTGTCACCCATCAGACTATTCTTGATTTAATCTTGTCAATACATATACTAAATAATATGTGTGAAATTTGTTTTGATTTAGAATGGACCATTATCATGCACCTGTCTCGAAACAGGGACAGGGGGAAAACATTTGTAATCTATGCACTTAAATAGCGAATGGAGGACACTTTTCCCGTAGTTCATTTTCATGCCAGCCAGGTAGGCTATACTCCTGTTGTAAATATAAGCAATGTGCTTAATATTAGGAAAGTTGAGAAATAAATATAGTAGGCCTAGCCTATAGAAAGCTGATGGGATCCTCCTCTTTTTAATTGAGGCCATCACTCTGTTTTCTCTCGCAATTGCGTAGCCTATAGAAATGTTGCGCAACATGAGCTCATGGGCTCTCATGAAGTGTTTGATTAGATTTTCTAAAACATTTGCATTGATGTCAGAGTGATTTGAGGGACAATAGAGTGCTGAGTACCAGGCAGTTAGCAAGTTTGGTAGGCAACTAATGACCATCAGCAGCATCAGAGCTTGGAGAAGCCTAATTACCATGACTAAAAGGTCACGTGGAATTTGACTGCCTTCATGACTCGTGACTGCCGTTGTGGCGGTAATACGTCACCTTATTTGTGTTATGTTGCTGTTGAAATACAGACCTTATATGGAGTAACTGGCATCATTTCTCTTTCACTTAGTTCACAGGGAAACCACCAAGACTACATAGAACAGCAGATCAGATCGACGTGGCCCCCCACCACAATATCCCACAAAACATAGGTAGTAGCTTAATCATTAGTCTTAATTTCTCATGAATATAATAGAGATGCCCATGTAATGATATTGTATTTTACTTAGACATGTATTTCTAATCGTGTATGTTTGTCCTTTCAGCTTACACAAAATGCAGGTAGCTCCTCTCTGCTTCCCATTGTTCACAGCCGTACCCATAGAGTCGTATAGAATACCTTTGTGTTGTACTTGTTTTCCTATGTGTTCTGTTAAATCCTGTGGCGCTACCGTTCCACATCACTTACAGGATTCAGGATGAATCTACTGCTCCACTTTCTCTCACTCTGTAGTTCACGGCAGGAACATGAGGCTGCCACGGGACCGATGTCGTGTTTCATCGCGAACCGACGGAATATTCCTCAATTTACAGGTGCAACGGTCTGAAATGGTTTCCTCTCATCTACTCTCGGCACTGATCTAAATAGGCAGTAATAGTGGATTCCTGTCGGGAGTCTGCGTTCGCCTGTCCAGTTCTATCACATCAGTGCAGACAGAGGACAGGAAGCTACTAAACTATTGAGATGCACCCCCGTAGTGACATAGCTATTAGGCTCAGTACTGCTTTCTAATGATGACCCTCTGTCACTCCTGAGGTGGCCTGATGTGGAGGGAGAACAGACCAGTCCAAACGATGCCAGAACCACCCCCCCAACATACCCCTGCAGCCTACCCATGGCAACCCATGGCACTATACAGTCCAAATGGCACCTGGTCAGTAACAAAAGAGTCCCAAGCATGAAAAGGGAAGGCCCTAAAAATTGTCAGACTCCCGTCACCCAAGTCACAGACTGTTCTCTCTGCTTCCGCACGGCAAGTGGTACCGGAGCGCCAAGTCTAGGTCCAAAAGGCTCTTTAACAGCTTCTACCCCCAAGCCATAAGACTGCTGAACAATTAATAAAATGGCCACCCGGACTATTTACATTGACCCCCCCCCCTCCCCCTTTGTTTTTACACTGCTGCTACTCACTGTTTATTATCTATGCATAGTCACTTTACCCCTACCTACATGTACAAACTACCTCGACTAACCTGTACCCCATACATTGACTCGGTACCGGTACCCCCTGTATATAGCCTCTCTACTGTTATTTCACATTGACTCGGTACCGGTACCCCCTGTATATAGCCTCTCTACTGTTATTTCACATTGACTCGGTACCGGTACCCCCTGTATATAGCCTCTCTACTGTTATTTCACATTGACTCGGTACCGGTACCCCCCTGTATATAGCCTCTTTACTGTTATTTCACATTGACTCGGGACCGGTACCCCCTGTATATAGCCTCTCTACTGTTATTTCACATTGACTCGGTACCGGTACCCCCTGTATATAGCCTCTCTACTGTATATAGCCTTGTTATTGTTATTTTAGTGTGTTACTTTTTACTTTAAATATTTTCTTAACTCAATTTTCTTAAAACTGCATTGTTGGTTAAGGGCTTGTAAGTAAGCATTTCACTGTAAGGTCTACACCTGTTGTATTCGGCGCATGTGACACATTTGAAATGTAAGTATGGAGGATCTAGTGTATTCAGCAGGGGTCAAACAGAGCTAACCTTGCTTCTGCCCTCTTAAAAATACCATATGCTCAGAACCCACCGAACAGATAAATGATTCTACTAACAACTCAAAAAAAATGAAAATTATCAGATGTAAATTAGCTTAATTAGTTTAAACATTTACATTGATGTGTAAACTGAAAATGTTGATTAATGTGCATTGTCCCTGTGTCAGCAAAATTGCTAAAACCAAACCATATCCCTACGGAAGCAGTTGATTAACCTTTTCTTCCATCAGGTGTTGCTGATTGATTTATATGTTCCACCATGTCAGAGACACGGCTAACGGAGCTTCTTCTTATTGACTGCAAAAAAAAATAATAATAATTGCTGCAGTCGAATAATCACCTCTCATTCAGACGAAAGTCCCATAGCTTCACCTGGATCCTGTCTGATAGTCATAATGACAAAAACTAACTAGAGCAAAGAAAGAGAAGATGATGACAACGTGCATTTTAATCAGCTGAGATCTCCTAGGCTGCGTTTACACAGGCAGCCCAATTATGATCTTTTTTTTCAGTAATTGGTCTTTTGACCAATCACATGAAAGAGATCTGATGTGAAAAGATCTGATGTGAGTGGAAAAATAAATATTATAAAATGGGCTGCCTGTGTAAACGTAGACTTAGTCTTAAATCAGTGAGATACTTCAATTGCTGCTTTCGTAACCAAGTGGGAAGTGGGAATTTACCAGTTGTGAAGTCGTACCAGTTGGATGCATTCACGTGCTTTGAACTCATTGAGAAACGCTGATTGGCTAATGGCCAACAAGTTGCGTAAACCATAAACTAAAAGTACAGTTATCATGATTGTAATTTCCTTAGTAGGTGAGGTAAGAGGTCAGAGGTGGGAGCTCACGATGATAGTAGTTACCAGTTGGAGGGCCGTTAAGTGAATTTTTCCCCAGTCGTACGTGGTAAATTCCCACTTCCCACTTGGTTACGAACGCAGCATTATTCAAACACGTCTACCATCTTGTGGGGCGTTTTTTTTGGGCTATAACTTGTGTTGTGAACTTGATTGATTGACATCTTAAAAGGGACCCTAAAAGAGGTTTGTTTGTAGGATGTTGAAGCTCATCTCATCTACTGTATATTGTATTATGAACCCTTTGTCGTCTGTGTGGTTAGGCCCCTGTCTGAACCCTGGCCACAGACAGAACTTACATGGAGACCGCTGCAGCCAACCCATGGCACTCTACAGTCCAAATGGCACCTGGTCAGTAACAGAACAGTATTGTCCCAAGCATGAAAGGGAAATGTAAGCATGGAGGATCTAGTGTATTCAGCAGGGGTCAAACTGCCGAGGCTGGGGAGACCCCTTTAGTGATAGGAAATGTATCAGGGATCCCCTTCATAATCAGGACACAACTTGAGTGAGATAAAAAAAAAAAAATAGCATACAAAGTCTTTTACTATGACTTCAGCAGTGCATGGCCGGACGAACCAAGTCTCGGGCCCTGGGAAGAAACATTTTAAAGGCCCGCATCTTGGCATCAGAGAGCGAAATTCAGTTTTCATGCTAATTTCCTGCTAACACCTTTTTGTCATGGGGCAGATAGGTTTTTGTTGTTGCAGCCTTAAAGCTAATTTCCTGCAATTCTACACATTTTACCATGAAGCAGAGAGAACCTTGCAGTTTTAAACTTAAATTGCAGTGCATTTATGTTTTTTTTTTTATAAAATTGGGGGAATACAAGAATGATTGAGCTGACAAAATGTTACTGTGGATAGCAATATTTCAGTGAGCCTTCCAGGCCCATGTTGCCCAGGTTTAAGAAGATACATTCTACATTAATAATATTACACTGTATTGTATTCCACCCTTTACATTTATTAAAAGGATCCCTTGGCCAAAATCAATTTAATCTGTTGTTAGTAATATTTTTTTTATATATATATTTTAGATATATTGTAAAGTGGTTGTCCTACTGGCTATCATAAGGTGAATGCACCAATTTGTAAGTCGCTCTGGATAAGAGCGTCCGCTAAATGATTTAAATGTAAGATCTGGCCATAGTCCTCCTGCAGTACCTCAGTTTGAGAAACCCTGGTTTATCGCATACCTTTCCTATGAACTCTCCTCGGGTCCACCAGTCCTGCAGCAGGTGCCTCATCCGTTCTAAAGGCCTCAGAAGATGCCGGTTTTGGCCTCGCTTCCACGGCGACGCCCCTCTCCCTCGACACCCCCACACCCAGTCAAGTGGTCCTCTACCGTCACACACCAGGCTTCATCAGCTTCGATGACCTCACTGAAAGGAGACCCCTTCAGAACGATGCAGACAATCCATCCCAGGGTTTGACAACCCTAGTCCGAAGAGTCAGTGAGTGTTCCATCTTGAGGTGTGTGTGTGTGTGAGAGAGAGTGTGAGAGACACATACAGTGGGGTAAAAAAGTATTTAGTCAGCCACCAATTGTGCAAGTTCTCCCACTTAAAAAGATGAGGCCTGTAATTTTCATCATAGGTCTTGTATGTCTTCCATTTCCTAATAATTGCTCTGTTACGAACCCCGTGGCTTTAAACGTCTAGGGTGGATGGACATGAGACCCGTAACATAATTCATGCACATTAGGATGATGACATGGAACAGTGAGAACAAAAGACTACACGACAACCATAAACTACCGTCAAACATTAAAGGTTTATTGCTGAACACACGGTAAAGGTTTGGGAAAAAGGGCTGAGCAGGACCCAAGAAATGAAACAATAGTGTAAAACACCCCTAAACTGATCTTGCCTGCCTCAAGAACCGCTAGGCTACTGCTAATCATACAAAAGTACAGTGGGTGGTCCGCTCAGGTCTAACTAGTGTTTTTAGACAGATTTCTTCCTACGGGTAATGTACGCCCAAGGGCAACTAGCTTAAACTCCCCTTTTCCCAGAAACACACAAAGTTACCAAACAGAGTAACCAGCAAATTAGTGAGTAAACAAAACACCACAGTATCCATACTCACATACGGAAATAGTCTCTCTCTCAACAAACACAACTGACCGGCTTTTAAACAATGGGATGTGTGATTGAAAAACCAGCAACAGGTGGTGCAATGCAGAGGAATGTTCACTGATTGGTCCACCTTATCAATCAGCAGACACCTCAACGACCACCAATCAGGAACATACAGGACCCCTGTGATTAGGGCAGAAGGAGAGGAAAAACACAGGACACCTGTATCCGTAACATGCTCCCACAGTTGATTTCTTCAAACCAAGCTGCTTACCTATTGCAGATTCAGTCTTCCCAGCCTGTTGCAGGTCTACAATTTTGTTTCTGGTGTACTTTGACAGCTCTTTGGTCTTGGCCATAGTGGAGTTTGGAGTGTGACTGTTTGAGGTTGTGGACAGGTGTCTTTTATACTGATAACAAGTTCAAACAGGTGCCATTAATACAGGTAACGAGTGGAGGACAGAGGAGTCTCTTAAAGAAGAAGTTACAGGTCTGTGAGAGCCAGAAATCTTGCTTGTTTGTAGGTGACCAAATACTTATTTTCCACCATAATTTGCAAATAAATTCATAAAAAATCCTACAATGTGATTTTCTGGATTTTTTTTCCTCATTTTGTCTGTCATAGTTGACGTGTACCTATGATGAAAATTACAGGCCTCTCATCTTTTTAAGTGGGAGAACTTGCACAATTGCAGGCTGACTAAATATTTGTTTTCCCCCACTGTACATGTATCCGTCTTGTTATACAGGTATTCAGTGTTCTGTCACCTCTCTCCTAGAAACAGAGAGATTCATGAAGCAGCAGGTGGATATCAGATTAATCATGTCCCATCTGACCACACCGCTACACACAGGTAGACTACTTCCCCCTTCCCCCTCAGTATAACTAGGTAGACCACTTCCCCCTTTCCCCTCAGTATAACCAGGTAGACTACTTCCCCTTTCCCCTCAGTAATAACCAGGTAGCCTAACTTCCCCTTTCCCTTCCAACTCCCCCTCCCCCCCTCGTATAACCAGGTAGACTACTTTCCCACCTGCCCCCTCAGTTAACCAGGTAACTACTTCACCTTCCCTCAGTAAATAACCAGGTAGAACTTCCCCCTTCCCTCAGTATAACCAGGTAGGACTACTTCCCCCTTTCCCCTCAGTATACCCATAGACTACTTCCCCCTTCCCCCTCGTATCAACCAGGTAGACTACTGCCCCCGTCCCCCTCATTATAACAGGTAGCCAACTCGCCCTGCATTCCCCCTTTCCCCTCAGTAAACCAGGTAGACTACTTCACTCCTTTCCCCTCATATAATCCCCTTCCCCCTCAGTATAACCAGTAGACTACTTCCCCCCTTCCCCCTCAGTAAAACCCAGGTAGACTATTCCCCCTTCCCCCTCAGTATAACCAGGTAGACTACTTCCCCTTTCCCCTCAGTATAACCAGGTAGACTACTTCCCCCTCTATACCAGGTAGACACTCCCCTTTCCCCTCAGTAAACCAGGTAGCTACTTCCCCCTCAGTAAAACCCCGGGTAGACTACTCCCCATTTCCCCTCAGTATAACCAGGTAGACTACTTCCCCCTCAGTTATAACCAGGTAGACTACTTCCCCTTTTTCCCCTCAGTATAACCAGGTAGACTACTTTCCCCCCCCTTTCCCCTCATATAACCAGGTAGACTACTTCCCCTTCCCCTCAGTATACCAGGTAGACTACTTTCCCCTTCCCCCTCAGTATAACCAGGTAGACTACTTCCCCCTTCCCCCTCAGTATAAACTAGGTGACTATTTCCCCCTTTTCCCCCCTCAGTATAACCAGGTAGACTACTTCCCCCTTCCCCCTCAGTATAACTGGGTGATTTACTTCCCCCCATTTCCGCTCAGTATAACCAGGTAGACTATTTCCCCCCCCCCATTTCCCCTCAGTATAACCAGGTAAAACTACTTCCCCCCTTTCCCCTCAGTATAACCAGGTTAGACTACTTCCCCCTTCCCCCTCAGTATAACTAGGTAGACTACTTCCCCCATTTCCCCTCAGTATAACTAGGTAGACTACTTCCCCATTTCCCCTCAGTTAACCAGGTAGACTACTTTCCCCCCTTTCCCCTCGTATACTAGGTAGACTCCTTCCCATTTCCCCTCAGTATAACCAGTAGACTACTTCCCCATTTCCCCTCAGTATAACCAGGTAGACTATTTCCCCCCTTTCCCCCCTCAGTATAACCAGGTAGACACTTCCCCCCTTTCCCTCAGTAAAACCAGGTAGACTACTTCCCCCCTTCCCCCTCATAAACCAGGTAGACTACTTCCCCTTTTCCCCCTCAGTATAACCAGGTAGACTACTTCCCCCATATAACCAGGTGATACTTCCCCCTTCCCTCAGTATAACCAGGTAGACTACTTCCCCCTTCCCCTCAGTATAACCAGGTAGACACTTCCCCCTTTTCCCCTCAGTATAACCAGGTAGACTACTTCCCCCCCCTTTCCCCTCAGTAAAACCAGGTAGACTACTTCCCCTTCCCCTCAGTAAAAACCAGGTAGACTACTTCCCCCTTTCCCTCAGTATAACCAGGTAGACTACTTCCACCTTTCCCCCTCAGTATAACCAGGTAGACATTCCCCCTCAGTAAACCGGTAGATCTTCCCCTTCCCCTCAGTATAACCAGGTAGACTACTTCCCCCCTTTCCCCCCTCAGTATAACCAGGTAGACTACTTCCCCCTTTCCCCCCTCAGTAAACCAGGTAGACTACTTCCCCCTTCCCCCCTCAGTATAACCAGGTAGACTATTTCCCCCCCCTTCCCCTCAGTATAACCAGGTAGACTACTCCCCCTCAGTTAACCAGGTAGACTATTTCCCCCTCATTATAACCAGGTAGACTATTTCCCCCCCATTCCCCTCGTATAAACCCAGGTAGACTACTTCACACCCTTCCCCTCAGTATAACCCGGTAACTACTTCCCCCCCCTTCCCCTCAGTAACCAGGTAGACTACTTCCCCCTTTCCCCTCAGTAAAAACCAGGTAGACTACTTCCCCCTTTCCCTCAGAAATAACCAGGTAAAACTACTTCCCCCTTCCCCCTCAGTATAACCAGGTAGACTATTTCCCCCTCCCCTCAGTATAACCGTGACTACTTCCCCCTCATATAACCAGGTGGGACACTTCCCCATTTCCCCCTCATATAACCAGGTAGACTACTTCCCCCTTTCCCCTCAGTATAAACCAGGTAGACTACTTCCCCCTTCCCCTCAGTATAACCAGGTAACTATTTCCCCCTCAGTATAACCGGTAGACTATTTTCCCCCTCAGTATAACCAGGTAGACTACTTCCCCCTTTCCCCCTCAGTATAACCAGGTAGACTACTTCCCCCCTCAGTATAACCAGGTAGACTACTTCCCCCCTTTCCCCTCAGTATAACCAGGTAGACTGACTTCCCCCTCATATAACCAGGTAGACTACAGCCCATTTCCCCCTCAGTATAACCAGGTAGACTACTTCCCCCTTTCCCCTCAGTATAACCAGGTAGACTACTTCCCCCTCAGTATAACCAGGTAGACTACTTCCCCCCTTTCCCCCTCAGTATAACCAGGTAGACTACTTCCCCCTCAGTATAACCAGGTAGACTACTTCCCCCTTTCCCCTCAGTATAACCAGGTAGACTACTTCCCCCTTTCCCCTCAGTATCAACCAGGTAGACTCTTCCCCCCTTCCCCCTCAGTATAACCAGGTAGACTACTTCCCCCTCAGTATAACCAGTAGACTACTTCCCCCTCAGTAAACAGGTAGACTACTTCCCCATTTCCCCCTCAGTAATAACCAGTAGACTACTTCCCCCCTTTTCCCCCTTTAGTATAACCAGGTAGACTTACTTCCCCCCTCCCTTTCCCCTCAGTATAACCAGGTAACTACTTCCCCTCCCCTCCCCATATAACCCAGGTAGACTCTTCCCCTTCCCCTCAGTATAACCAGGTGACTACTTCCCCCTTCCCCCCCCAGTATAACCAGGTAGACTACTTCCCCTCAGTATAACCAGTAAACCCCTTTCCCCTCAGTATAACCAGGTAGACTACTTCCCCCTTTTCCCCCCTCAGTATAACCAGGTAGACTATTTCCCCCCTTCCCCTCAGTATAACCAGGTTAGACTACTTCCCCCTCAGTATAACCAGGTAGACTACTTCCCCCTCAGTATAACCAGGTAACTATTTCCCCATTCCCCTCATATAACCAGGTAAAACTCTTCCCCCCTTTTCCCCTCAGTATAAACCAGGTAAAACTACTTCCCCTCATTTAACCAGGTAGACTCTTTCCCCCCTCAGTATAACCAGTAGACTATTCACCCTTTCCCCTCAGTATAACCAGGTAGACTACTCCCCTTTCCCCCTCAGTATAACCAGGTAGACTACTTCCCCCTCAGTATAACCAGGTAGACTACTTCCCTTCCCCCTCAGTAAAACCAGGTAGGACTACTTCCCCCTCAGTATAACCAGGTAGACACTTCCCCCTCAGTATAACCAGGTAACTACTTCCCCCTTCCCCCTATATAAACCATGTAGACTACTTCCCCCCAGTATAACCGGTAGACTACTTCCCCCTCAGTATAACCAGGTAGACTACTTCCCCCCCTTCCCCTCAGTATAACCAGGTAGACTACTTCCCCCTTCCCCCTCAGTATAACCAGGTAGACTACTTCCCCCTCAGTATAACCAGGTAGACTACTTCCCCCTCATAAACCAGGTAACTACTCCCCATTTCCCCATAAACCAGGTAGACTACTTCCCCATTCCCCCGTATAACCAGGTAGCTACTTCCCCCTCATATAACCAGGTAGACTACTTCCCCTTTCCCCTCAGTTAAACCAGTAGACTACTTCACCTTTCCCCTCAGTATAACCAGGTAGACTACTTCCCCTTCCCCTATAACCAGGTAGACTACTTCCCCCTCAGTATAACCAGGTAGACTACTTCCCCCTCAGTATAACCAGGTAGACTACTTCCCCCTTTCCCCTCAGTATAACCAGGTAGACTACTTCCCCCTCAGTATAACCAGGTAGACTACTTCCCCCTCAGTATAACCAGGTAGACTACTTCCCCCTTTCCTCCCTTTCCCCTTCCCAGTATAACCAGGTAGACTACTTCCCCCCCCTTTCCCCCAGAAATAACCAGGTAGACTACTTCCCCCTTTCCCCTCAGTATAACCAGGTAGACTACTTTCCCCCTTTCCCTCAGTATAACCAGGTAGACTATTTCCCCCCCTTCCCCCTCAGTATAACCAGTAGACTACTTCCCCCTTTCCCTCAGTATAACCAGGTAGACTACTTCCCCCTTTCCCCTCAGTATAACCAGGTAGACTACTTCCCCCTTTCCCCTCAGTATAACTACAGTGCCTTGCTAAAGTATTCATCCCCCTTGGTGTTTTCCCTATTTTGTTGCATTACAACCTGTAATTTAAATGGATTTTGAGGGGGGATTTCATGTAATGGACATACACAAAATAGTCAAAATTGGTGAAGTGAAATGAAAAAAATAACGGAAAAGTGGTGCGTGCACATGTATTCACCCCCTTTGCTATGAAGCCCTTAAATAAGATCTGGTGCAACCAATTACCTTCAGAAGTCACATAATTAGTTAAATAAAGTCCACCTGTGTGCAATATAAGTGTCACATGATCTGTCACACAATCTCAGTATATATACACCTGTTCTGAAAGGCCCCAGAGTCTGCAACACCACTAAGCAAGGGGCACCACCAAGCAAGCGGCACTATGAAGACCAAGGAGCTCTCCAAACAGGTCAGGGACAAAGTTGTGGAGAAGTACAGATCATTGAGAATCTGTGGTATGACTTAAAGATTGCTGTACACCAGCGGAACCCATCCAACTTGAAGGAGCTGGAGCAGTTTTGCCTTGAAGAATTGGCAAAAATCCCAGTGGCTAGATGTGCCAAGCTTATAGAGACATACCCCAAGAGACTTGCAGCTGTAATTGCTGCAAAAGGTGGCTCTACAAAGTATTGACTTTGGGGGGGGTGAATAGTTATGCACGCTCAAGTTTTCTGTTTTTTTGTCTTATTTCTTGTTTGTTTCACAATAAAAAAAAGTATTGCATCTTCAAAGTGGTAGGCATGTTGTGTAAATCAAAAAATCTATTTTAATTCCAGGTTGTAAGGCAACAAAATAGGAAAAATGCCAATGTAGGTAGACTACTTCCCCCTCAATATAACTAGGTAGACTACTTCCCCCTTTCCCCTCAGTATAACCAGGTAGACTACTTCCCCCTTTCCCCTCAGTATAACCAGGTAGACTACTTCCCCCTCAGTATAACTAGGTAGACTACTTCCCCCTTTCCCCTCAGTATACTAGGTAGACTACTTCCCCCCTTTCCCCTCAGTATAACCAGGTAGACTACTTCCCCCTTTCCCCTCAGTATAACCAGGTAGACTACTTCCCCCCTTTCCCCTCAGTATAACCAGGTAGACTACTTCCCCATTTCCCCTCAGTATAACCAGGTAGACTACTTCCCCCTTTCCCCTCAGTATAACCAGGTAGACTACTTCCCCCTTTCCCCTCAGTATAACCAGGTAGACTACTTCCCCCTTCCCCCTCAGTATAACCAGGTAGACTACTTTCCCCCTTCCCCCCTCAGTATAACCAGGTAGACTACTTCCCCCCTTCCCCCTCAGTATAACCAGGTAGACTACTTCCCCCATTTCCCCTCAGTATAACCAGGTAGACTACTTCCCCCTTTCCCCTCAGTATAACCAGATAGACTACTTCCCCCTTTCCCCTCAGTATAACCAGGTAGACTACTTCCCCCTTTCCCCTCAGTATAACCAGGTAGACTACTTCCACCTTTCCCCTCAGTATAACCAGGTGTTGATCGATGGGGCCCTGAGTGTTTCTGCACAGCACAGATGGCTTGTGTGGCACACAGTGCTATCTGGCTCATCTCAGTGCTATCTGGCTCATCTCAGCTTGCAGCATTCTCTTGTTCTCCTATAGTTCACAGAGACAACATGAGACAGCAGGAGCAGGCCAGACAAGATTGGAACCATCAGACCACACCATGCAGGCACTACCTGTCCTCCTCTTCACTCAGTATATGATCTAGTCTCTTTTCGTTTAACCAGCTTCTTTCTCCCTGTTGTTTAGTTCACAGAGAGACCCCAGTACAGAATCATCAGGAAACTGGCATCATCTGAATACGCCACCAAAATAGAGGTTCAGTACTCTCCTCTTTTATATATTATCTTACAAACATCAGTGGATCTGAGTCATACAAATACGTTGTGTGTCTTTCTGGCCTTTCTTTGTCAAGGTGGGTGGGTCTCCCTGCCCCCATAGGCCTATGTTCAATTGGGTTGAGATCTGTTGACTGAGACTGCCATGGCATATTGTTTACATTGTTTTCATGCTCATCAAACCATTGAGACCACTCGTGCCCTGTGGACAGGGGCATTGTCATCCTATGGGGGCATAGTCATGGTAGCCAAAATAATGGCCTGCCCAGCATTTTTATACATGACCCTAAGCATGATGGGATGTTAATTGTTTAATTACCTCAGGAACCACACCTGTGTGGAAGCACCTGATTTCAATATTATTTGTATCCCACGTTTACTCAAGTCTTTCCATTATTTTGGCAGTTACCTGTAGATCATGCATAAGACTTTGGTGGATTTTGGAGCAAAGGAACCAATCAAATACTGACTCTCAAAGTAAGTCTACAAGTGAAGGTAGGAACCAATCAAATACTGCCTCTGAAAGTAAATATACAAGGGAAGGTAAAAGAGAAGGAACCTTTTGAAGTTGATTCCAGGACGGGTCTGGTCTTATCCAGTGTCGTCCAAAGAGTTTCAGTTGGACACTGTTCAACAGTCTTCGGCAATAGTGACACCTGCAGGAGATTTACCTCAACTACAGCATCGAAACGTTTGTTTTGCAATTTTACACACAGGATCGTACAACTGAATTGTGATTGTTTCTGTTTTGAAAAGCTAATAATCCACTTTGCCAAATGTACACAAGTTAAAAGAGTTTATTACTGAACAATAAAGTTGTTTTAAATATCTTCCCTGCTTATAGGATTTCTGTTCTTGCAGTAAACATTCAGCCTCATTAAACTTAGGAAGCACTAATGATATCTTGTACGGCCCTGTATTTGACCCCTATCTAAACCACAACACCTTGTTCCTTCTTTAACCTCTACGGGATCAGTGTCCTGTATATGGGACGGTTGAGCTAAAGTGCGCTAATGTGATTAGCATGACTGTTGTAAGTAACAGCAAACTTTCCAGGACATAGACATGTCTTATATGGGCAGAAAGCTTAAATTCTTGTTAATCTAACTGCACTGTCCAATGTACAGTAGCTATTACAGCGAAAGAATACCATGCTATTGTTTGAGGAGAGTGCACAACAAAAAACGTATCATGGCAACTGGTTTGATACATTCACCTCTGAAGGTAAACGATGTACTTACATTCAGTAATCTTGCTCTGATATGTCATCCTAAGGGTCCCAGAGATAAAATTTAACCGTTTTGTTTGATAAAATCCATTTTTATATTCAAATATAGGAAATGGGTTCTACAATTTGAACCCCTGCCGTCTCTGGCTCCACGGCCATCTAGATGTGTGAAAGTTACTGTATAAGCTAATGATCCATCGTGTATGACATTCCTGGGAGTGTGTAAACTTACATTTTCTATTACCATATCATTTTTGTATGTTCTCTATAGTTATGTACTTGAAAATGAATTTGGGCAGACTTGTTACAAAGTAGTCCAGTATTGCAACGCTTCACTGGATCAATCTGAAACTTTGCACACACACTGCTGCCATCTAGTGGCCAAAATCTAAATTGCGCCTAAACTGCAATATTATATTGTGACCTTCTCTTGCATTTCAAAGATGGAACAAAAAAAAAAGACAGAAAATGCATGTTTTTTTGTTTGTATTATCTTTTACCAGATCTAATGTGTTATATTCTCCTACATTAATTTCACATTTCCACAAACTTCAAAGTGTTTCCTTTCAAATGGTATCAATAATATGCATTTCCTTGCTTCAGGTCCTGAGCTACAGGCAGTTAGATTTGGGTATGTCATTTTAGGTTGAAAATTGGAAAAAAGGGTCCGATCCTTAAGAGGTTAATAAACTTTCCAAAAGGATAATAGCACCAGACAAGATCATGCAAGTTAAGCTCATCTCAAGTCTCGGCGCTCCAAAAACCTGTAATAAATCTAATGATATCACTGTCATAAATCTATATTACTATCAGTACGGCGTAGTCTCCTAACACAAATGAGGTTGGACCCGCAGAACCCTGTTTCCATGACGCTTGAGTGCGGGCACGGGGGTTCATTCACGGCTTCAATTACAGCCGATAAATGTCAGCCAGACACTCCACGACACGGCGCTTACGAGCAACAAGCCGGCTCTCGTAGGGGCTTCCGCCCGGGACGTGAGAGGAATAGACAGGCGCTCATCTCTTACTCACCACTCTGTGTTCATTATATATATATATATATATATATATATATATATATATATAATATATATAGACGAGAGGCGAGAGAGAGAGAGAGAGAGAGAGAGAGAGCGAGAGAGAGAGAGAGAGAGCGAAGAGCGCGAGAGAGAGGAGAGAGAGAGAGAGAGAAGAGAGAGCGAGCGCGACACGAGAGATCGTTCTCTCTCTCGCTCCCTCTCATCTAGAGACGAGAGCCAGTTACTTTTGATAAAGCCTGCCATCGGGAGTGCAATGGAGCAATTACTGCTGATTGTCAATTAGTCTCCGCTGGTAATTGGTTCATGATTCAAGCGACAGACGATTAATTAAAAAGGGGAAGAAAAAAAAAATGTCTCCCTCCCCCATCAGACGTTTTCTAAGAACAGCAGGTTTGATGGTGATGGGAAGACAATCCACAGCAAGCTCCAACTTTTATACCACCCGAGGTCTGTGTTGAAATCGGGCCCTCTGTAGACGAATACAGTAACACACACAAACCTAAAACAATACAACCCTTGAAAGTTTCCTGAGATGTTTTATTATTCAATGTGACACTGTAGTAGAGTCTTATGGGGAGGCTGTACTGTCCTCTATATGGGCATTGTAAGAAATGGTAACGTTACGTCTTAAAATGCAGATGTTTAGACCGCAAAACGGACATGGGCAAGGACTGAAAGAGACCACTCGCACTACAGACTCCCATCCAGTAGAGGGCATTCTATTTTGTCCTGTAATGACAACTACAGCGTGCTGGTAAGGCAGTTGTTAGGGCAGCCCGGTTGGAGCAGCGGCTTCCTGGCGAGAGGCTCGTCGGGGTCCTGATACAGGGAGATCCAGCAGGGCTTGGATGGTCTGGGCGACCCGAGACAGACCCTCACCGTCCATGATCAGCTGGCAGGGACACAGGGTGTCCTGGGGTGGGGAAGAGGGACAGAAGTCACACACTGTACATGATCGTGCACATCTGATACCACAGAGCTAAATGACTTGTTAACTTGTAGTCAAACAACCATTATGGTCACACAATCACGATAGTTGCTTAAGGAGCAAAACCACACAAGACGTCCACCATACTACTTTAATATTTGTACACTGATGGCTACATCCACTGCATGCTCCAACCAGGACCACACTACATGAAGTACCCATTTCTTTATCCACCACGGAATAAGAGGAGGGAGTGGAGACCATAGTCGGGAAAGGGAGAAAAGGTACTATTGGACTCTTTCAAAGTATTCTCTTGAATTCTCCCGTCCTCTCCTCCAATCTTTCTCGACTCATCAGTGTAAAACCAAAGGACACACACTTCTCGCTCAACTTTTGAAGAGGCCAAGGCTCTTTCTCAATCCATCTGGGCCTCGATTCCTCTCTCTTCTCCTCTTCAAATCGTATTGGAGGAAAAAGGTCCAAAGCCCCTCCCCTCAGTCCAACGCATTTTGAGAAAGAGAGGACGCGAGGAATTCGAGGAGAGACTAATTGAAAAAGAGCCGAGAGCTCAGTGGAGTTTGAGGGCCAAACGTGATTAGTTGGATAAAATCTCAGTCAGTGGGTGGAGCTTGTGACCAGTGACACGTGAACGTCAAAGAAAATGATTGTAGGGAGGTAGGTAGACGGAGGTGATTAAAACACAGGTTGCAACGCAAAGTACCTGGTTCGATCTAATAAGGAAAACGCCAATTTGTGGAGGGCTTGAGAGAGGACAAGGAATCGAGGAAAGACTTGAGAGACCTGTAACGGATCCCACCTCTACTAACCACAGTCCAAACATGCAGGATGCAAATCATTACCTCTGCTGTGCGAGCTGCTGCGTGCGCCAAAACGTACCTTCTCCACTAGAGGGCGGCACACACATTACAGTCGAAACCTGGTATCCACATAGCATAGCAGAGTTTTAAGTGCAGGGCAGAATGCAACAGAAGCTCGACATGAATAATACAGTTACAAACTTTTAGCAGCAAAAGCAGACAACTTCAGAGCAGACGATGACACCGGAAATGGTTAAATTCCTTATTTAATAATTTCATTAGAGGAAAAAAAACTAAATTTTATATAAACTCCTTTGTCTCATTTAAATACATAGGTATTATATAAATATTACAAAATACAACAGTATTTCTGTTCAGTTAACATTTTAAACTAGAATTCAGTTCTAAAACAGTGAATATGGTGGTGGTTCCACCGTTTTTCTTTTTATAAAACAAATGTTGGTTTAAACATTATCGCAAATGCAATTCCAACAACGGCTATGACTATGTGGTTATGCGCCAAAAAATGCTGTAACAGACAAAGAGAGGAAATAGACATTTCTACATATCCCTTATGGACACAGGAGTAGGAGGAGGAGTTGTAACCACCAAAATGGCCGCTCTTCCTGCCCACTTCATACAACGTGAATAAGCTCTATCAATATGCATACTATCGCTGTCCTATGAAAAGTCCTGATTACAGTATTGGGATGACACCTCAGAGTAAGACACACCTCAAATACAAGGTGAAATGTTGCCTTCTATTTACACTGTGTGTGTGTGTGTGTGTGTGTGTGTGTGTGTGTGTGCGTTACACCTCCTCAGTATTTTTGACAAGGTGCCCCGCAGAGAGAAATAGTAATGGCGTCTTTTTGTAGGCACCAACTCTGCCATGGTTCGTTGAACAAAGCCTACGGGGAAAATGTAATGGAGCTTTTGTAGGTTTTTTTTTGGGATGAACGCCGAAAATAAAAGGTCTGTGGTAAACACAGGCTTAGGAGATCTTATACGTTTTTGTCCTATGAGATCATCTTCATCAGCTAACGTCACTTATATTATCTCACGGGGAAAAAAAACATTATTATTTTCAAAAACCCTATTCTCTCCTCATTCATTTTGCCCAAAAATGGAAAGGCTAAACAAATCCAAGCTCTATTAGCTTGGACTTCTAACAGATGTTTCACAGAGGACCCAGTAAGCTATGACATATCCTTATGCTGGAGAAAGCAGTGGCCTCAACAATGCACTAAAACGCAGCTTCCCATGAGCACCCACAGCAATATTGTACACAATAGGGCTGATGGGAAATGTAGTGACTAAACTGTAAGAGCAGATCACATGACAGTTAATTCAGACTTAAGTTAATTATCAGATTGATACACAAGCTAACCATTATCTTTATCTAAATGTTTATTTGTGGTCCCATTGAATGGCTAAAAACAGTAATCTGTCTCAATCAGGAAGCGAATTCACCCAATTGATTTCTGTTAGCTTTTATCTATGAGGCCAATGCTCTCTTTCTCCAAGCACTGCAACAAACAGAGAAAAAAAAGACTTAACAATCTTTAAAAAATAAATACGACAGAAAAATAATTTAATTCGTTGTTTACATTTTTACAAACATGAAGCATGTTAAGCCGGTCTAAAGTGACCAAACAAACAACAAACAGCAACAACAACAACAACAACAAGTTACCATAAATCATTACAAGGAAATGATTCTGTACCTTCCGTTTTTAGACATGAAAGCATTGCGGATAGCAGTCGGTGTAATGTAGTGTGTAGCAACACCGCCCCCTGGTGGTCACAGTCAGACACGGCAGGCAGAAACAAGTGTAAGGCGTTGGGTCAGTGAGTAGTATTACTGTCAAGTCAGTCATAACAGGCACTAGTGATTGGTCTCATTTTCCCAAAGTGGCTTCCATGAGAAAATGTCTCAATCCTTTCAGCAAATTTTTGAGTCTTAAGAGTCACAAAACGTCCTCTTATTTGATAGACATCGGGTCCTTCATCACCTCAAGGGTTACAACGGGTTCTCTGAGTAGTCAGATGTAGAGACATGCTGTGCATCAGAGGTTAAAGGCTAAGGGCAATAGGCTAAGGCAGTCTACATCTGCATTGCTCGCTGTTTGGGGGTTTTAGGCTGGGTTTCTGTATAAGCACTTTGTGACATCTGCTGATGTAAAAAAGGGATTTATAAATAAAATGTGATTGATTGATGGATGTAGGGGAAGCCCGTAAAAAAGTCAAGTGTTTCTGTATATCTATACTAGAACTGTAGTGTTTTCACTAAAATGTATTTCTCTGCTATTCATTCACATAGGTTGTCACGCAAGAAAGGTATTTACAAAAGGGTATTTCAGATTATATAAATATGGGCCTCGATATATGGGCCAGAGCCATACTCTAAACGTTAAAAGGACGCCAACTCAGTGATCCTTTTGTTATTTGGTTCCATGTCGTGCTCAGCCACACCAGCTGTTGTGCGTACCACACAGTGTGTACTATCATGCTGTGTACGTTTCGAGAGCAGCTGTGAGGTTGGAGGGGGGTAGCTGACAGTCCTTCCTGCGTTGTGAGCCCGTCTCTCACCCTGCATACCAGGACAGCAGCGCGCGTGTGTGTGTGTGTTTTGCACATGTGTATGCGTTTTTCAGGGAATTCACGGTGGATTATTTAAATCCGGGTTGTCTGTGAATGTTCGCATTAGGTGGTCAAATTCACGTCAGTGTCAGTCCGAGTACACACGCTCTCGTGCCATCTCTCTCTCTCTCTCACACACACACACACACACACACACACACACACACACCCTCCCTCAGTATCTATGTGACCAGGTGGTATTACAGTGTAGAACAGGCTCCTCAGTATCTATGTGACCAGGTGATAGTACAGTGTAGAACAGGGTCCTCAGTATCTATGTGACCAGGTGACGGTACAGTGTGTAGAGCAGGACCATGACCAGGATGTAGAAGACCAGGAAGCCCTCCGAGAGCAGTGAGGGGCAGGGGTTGTGGGGGGTCTCCCCCTCTACCTCACATTTCACGAGGGCCTCCACACAGCGCAGCACAGCAGGCAGCTTACAGAGAAACACGTCAGAGAACACACACACCTCCGTCTGATAAAGGGAGGGAGAGGGGGAGATGGAGAGGGGGAGATGGAGAGGGGGGGAGAGGGGGATTGGGAGATGGAGAGGTGGGCATGTAGAGGGGGAGATGGAGGGGAGGGGTGATATGTAGGGGGATATGGGAGCGTGGATGGTGGTATCTTTTCTCTTTCTGTTTTTTTCGCTGGTGCTCTGAGCTTTTCTCTGAGAGGCTCTTGGACGAGGGGGATGGAGAGGTAGTTTTCTCTGTTCTCTTTTTCTTTCGGGGGTCTTTTTCTGGAGGGGGTTGCTCTTTGCTTTTGGGGGGTGGAGGGGGGAGAGGAGTGGGGGGATGGGGCGGTGTTAGAGGGGGCGTGGAGATGTTCTGGGGTGTGGCTGTGGAGTGCGGGTGTGTTGTTTTGGCGTGGGTCGTGGAGTGTTCTTTTTGGGGATGGTGGGATGGGAGATGGGGCGGGGTGGAGGGGAGATGGAGGGGGGAGATGGAGAGGGGGAGATGGAGAGGGGGATGGAGGTGGCGGGATGACTGGAGGGTGACGAGCAGTGGAGAGACAGAGAAAAGTGAACAAGATGGGGAAGTGACAAGCAGAGATGAACGGAGGGGGAATGACAGAAAGCAGGATGAAGCGAGGGGGAAGATGACAGAAAGCGGATACGGAAGAGGGGAAGACTGCAGACGAAGCAAGATGGCGCGAAGGAGTGACAGAACAGAGATCAACGGATACCAGAAACTCAGCGACCAAGGCAACAAATGCTCAAACCAGAGGACATGCGAACAGTAGCTACAAAACAGTTGTAAAGCGTACGGATCATTTCAAGACGAGAAAAAGACTACAAGTGATAGGGCGCAGACATTACAGTGATAACAAAAGAAGAAAAGATAAGAAAGTGACCTAGGGACCCAGCTAGAGCAGAACAAGACACGATGGTCAAGCACAGAAGGACAATGCAACAAGTAGCTAACAAAAACTGTTTGTAAAGCATTACTGGATCATTTCAGAGCTGAGAAAAATACTACCATACGTGATTAAGGGGACGCCATGACATTTTTACATGTGATGAACCATAGAAAGAAGAAAAGCATCAAAGAGAAGTTGTTACCTCAGGGACCCCCAGCCTACGACAGGCAGAGATGAAGTTCTCCACGTTGAGACGACACTTGGCAGTGCTCAACTTTGGCTAAAGGGGCAGAGAGACCAACATCAGGCAGAGTCAACAACACAGTCCCAGTGTTAACAGACTCACAGTCACAGTGTTAACAGACTCACAGTCACAGTGTTAACAGACTCACAGTCACAGTGTTAACAGACTCACAGTCCCAGTGTTAACAGACTCACAGTCACAGTGTTAACAGACTCACAGTCACAACAGACTCACAGTCACAGTGTTAACAGACTCACAGTCACAGTGTTAACAGACTCACAGTCACAGCGTTAACAGACTCACAGTCACAACACACAGTCACAGTGTTAACAGACTCACAGTCACAGTGTTAACAGATTCACAGTCACAGTGTTAACAGACTCAGTCACAACACACAGTCCGTTTTAACAGACTCAGTCACAGTGTTAACAGACTCACAGTGTTAACAGACTCACAGTCACAACACACAGTCACAGTGTTAACAGACTCACAGTCACAGTGTTAACAGACTCACAGTCACAGTGTTAACAGACTCACAGTCACAGTGTTAACAGACTCACAGTCACAACACACAGTCACAGTGTTAACAGACTCACAGTCACAGTGTTAACAGACTCACAGTCACAACACACAGTCAGTGTTAACAGACTCACAGTCACAGTGTTAACAGACTCACAGTCACAACAGACTCACAGTCACAGTGTTAACAGACTCAAAGTCCCAGTGTTAACAGACTCACAGTCCCAGTGTTAACAGACTCACAGTCCCAGTGTTAACAGACTCACAGTCACAGTGTTAACAGACTCACAGTCACAGTGTTAACAGACTCACAGTCACAGTGTTAACAGACTCACAGTCACAGTGTTAACAGACTCACAGTCACAGTGTTAACAGACTCACAGTCACAACATACTCACAGTCACAACACACAGTCACAGTGTTAACAGACTCACAGTCACACCACACAGTCACAGTGTTAACAGACTCACAGTCACAGTGTTAACAGACTCACAGTCACAGTGTTAACAGACTCAGTCACAACACACAGTCCGTTTTAACAGACTCAGTCACAGTGTTAACAGACTCACAGTCACAACACACAGTCACAGTGTTAACAGACTCACAGTCACAGTGTTAACAGACTCACAGTCACAGCGTTAACAGACTCACAGTCACACCACACAGTCACAGTGTTAACAGACTCACAGTCACAGTGTTAACAGACTCACAGTCACAGTGTTAACAGACTCACAGTCACAACACACAGTCCGTTTTAACAGACTCAGTCACAGTGTTAACAGACTCACAGTGTTAACAGACTCACAGTCACAACACACAGTCACAGTGTTAACAGACTCACAGTCACAGTGTTAACAGACTCACAGTCACAACACACAGTCACAGTGTTAACAGACTCACAGTCAGTGTTAACAGACTCACAGTCACAACACACAGTCACAGTGTTAACAGACTCACAGTCACAGTGTTAACAGACTCACAGTCACAACACACAGTCAGTGTTAACAGACTCACAGTCACAGTGTTAACAGACTCAGTCACAACAGACTCACAGTCACAGTGTTAACAGACTCAAAGTCACAACACACAGTCACAGTGTTAACAGACTCACAGTCACAGTGTTAACAGACTCACAGTCACAACATACTCACAGTCACAACACACAGTCACAGTGTTAACAGACTCACAGTCACAGTGTTAACAGACTCACAGTCACAGCGTTAACAGACTCACAGTCACAACACACAGTCAGTGTTAACAGACTCACAGTCACAGTGTTAACAGACTCACAGTCACAGTGTTAACAGACACAGTCACAACACACAGTCCACAGTGTTAACAGACTCACAGTCACAGTGTTAACAGACTCAGTCACAACACAGTCAAAGTGTTAACAGACTCACAGTCACAGTGTTAGACTCACAGTCACAACACACAGTCACAGTGTTAACAGACTCAGTCACAGTGTTAACAGACTCACAACACACAGTCACAGTGTTAACAGACTCACAGTCACAGTGTTAACAGACTCACAGTCACAACACACAGTCAGTGTTAACAGACTCACAGTCACAGTGTTAACAGACTCACAGTCACAACAGACTCACAGTCACAACCCACAGACAGTGTTAACACCTCTTAAGGATCGGACCCTTTTTTTTCAATTTCCTCCTAAAATGACATACCCAAATCTAACTGCCTGTAGCTCAGGACCTGAAGCCAGGATATGCATATTCTTGATACCATTTGAAAGGAAACACTTTAAAGTTTGTGGAAATGTGAAATTAATGTAGGAGAATATAACACATTAGATCTGGTAAAAGATAATACAAACAAAAAAACATGCCTTTTCTGTCTTTTTTTTGTTCCATCTTTGAAATGCAAGAGGTCACAATATAATATTGCAGTTTAGGCGCAATTTAGATTTTGGCCACTAGATGGCAGCAGTGTGTGCAACGTTTCAGATTGATCCAGTGAAGCATTATTTTGTATAAATTCTGCCCAAATGTGCCGAATTGGTCAATTGATACATTTTCAAGTACATAACTATAGAGAACATACAAAAATGATATGGTAATAGAAAATGTAAGTTTACACACTCCCAGGAATGTCATACATGATGGATCATTAGCTTATACACTAACTTTCACACATCTAGATGGCCGTGGAGCCAGAGACAGCAGGGGTTCAAATTGTAGAACCCATTTCCTACATTTGAATATAAAAATTGATTTTATCAAACAAAACTGTTACATTTTATCTCTGGGACCCTTAGGATGACATTTCAGAGCAAGATTACTGAATGTAAGTACATCATTTACCTTCAGAGGTGAATGTATCAAACCAGTTGCCATGATAAGTTTTTTGTTGTGCACTCTCCTCAAACAATAGCATGGTATTCTTTCGCTGTAATAGCTACTGTACATTGGACAGTGCAGTTAGATTAACAATAATTTAAGCTTTCTGCCCATATAAGACATGTCTATGTCCTGGAAAGTTTGCTGTTACTTTCAACAGTCATGCTAATCACATTAGCGCACTTTAGCGCAAACGTCCCGTATACGGGACACTGATCCCGTAGAGGTTAACACAGTCTCACAGACACAACACACAGACAGTGTTAACAGACTCAGACACAGAGTTAACACAGACTCACAGACACATCATCAAAACAAATACCATATTATTAACTTTTTGGTCAAATCAAGTCCCGGTCTACTCATTTATTGTAAACTGAGTCAAATTTTACAATAGATTTCTGTGATTGGCTTACCACTGCTGGGGAGGGAATGTGGATGATGGACACAGCGCGAGGCCGCATGTGATTGGCCAGCTGGCAGAGGACCGTTCCATTGGACAACGCCTCGCCTAGATCCTCTGGCAGGGTGGTCTTTAACCTCGACTCCAGAGTCTAACAGAGATGGACGGGGGACAGAGAGAGAGAGAGAGAGAGAGAGAGAGAGAGAGAGAGAGAGAGAGAGAGAGAGAGAGAGAGAGAGAGAGAGAGAGAGAGAGAGAGAGAGAGAGAGAGAGAGAGAGAGAGAGAGAGAGAGAGAGAGAGAGAGAGAGAGAGAGAGAGAGATGGAGGTAGAGAGAGAGATACAGAGAGATGGAGGTAGAGAGAGAGATACAGAGAGATGGAGGTAGAGAGAGATGGAGATGAGAGAGATACAGAGAGATGATGGGGGGGGGGGGGGGTCTTAACTGACTTACCTAGTTAAATAAAGGTTAAATCAAAAAGTAATTAAATTAAAAGAGAAAGAACTGTGGAGGGAAGGAGACGATATAGAAATGAGGTAAACCATGCAATACCTTGCGTAGCTGTGCCACATCTGGCCTTTCCTCTCTCCGCAACACGGAGCGGCCTGCCTCCACCAGACTGTGTGTGGAGCCTGAGATGGAGACCTGGCTGTTGACGCTGCAGCGAGACGAGGTGCGGAACAGGAAGCTGTTGGGTTTCTGGCTCAGGCCTGGAGGAGACGACGCCTTGGGAGACGACGGACCGTCTGAAAAACACACAACTTTTGTTAACTAACATCGGAGTTGTCTGCACTAGGAGACAGGAGGTCGCAGGTGAGCTGTACTGGTGTGTTTACCTGATCGGCTAACAGAGCGCTGAACCGGGGCCACGTGAGACAATGACATCTGATCTGCACTCTGTTGAAGGGGGAGAGAGTCAATGACATTATTTACATATACGGTGTGGATTATACAGTCTGGGTACCAGTCTGTTTGTGCTATCATGCGCCCAGTTGGGCAAGAGCACAAACAGATCTGGGACCAGGCTATAGAAGGAGACAACAGATCTGGGACCAGGCTATAGAAGGAGACAACAGATCTGGGACCAGGCTATAGAAGGAGACAACAGATCTGGGACCAGGCTATAGAAGGAGACAACAGATCTGGGACCAGGCTATAGAAGGAGACAACAGATCTGGGACCAGGCTATAGAAGGAGACAACAGATCTGGGACCAGGCTATAGAAGGAGACAACAGTTCTGGGACCAGGCTATGAATTATACTGCTGATACTAAATAGTAACACAATACCCATCAAGACAAAAAGAAAGTCAAAAAAATAAAAGAGAGAGTGTACTCTGATGAAAGTATCAAGAGTTGACTGAGAGACTGACCGCACATCGCTGTCTGAGGCCGTTCTGGGACTGGCTGTTCTCTGGTGAGCCACCACTAGGGGGAGACAGAGCACATTCAGAGAGAAAATACACAAACCACAGGTCAGTCACTGTGCACACAGGTGCTACTAATAAAACATAACAGGGGCTGAGAGTAGAAGAAGTTCAGGAGAAAAAAAACCTTACAAAATATAATTATTGTCAAATTGACTGTGTCCATAAAATGTATATAGTAAGTATAAACTGGAAGTAGAGGCCTAAGCGTTGTTGTTCACTAGTTTACTCCAATTAGGGAAGGGATGGTGGGGTTGGAAAGTAGTAAAGGGGAATATATATATTTTTTTTAAAGGATATGTATGTATGTATGTAAGTGTATGTATGTATGTATATGTATTTTTATCATAGGTACACTTCAACTGTGAGAGACGGAATCTAAAACAAAAATCCAGAAAATCACATTGTATGATTTTTAAGTAATTAATTTGCATTTTATTGCATGACATAAGTATTTGATCACCTACCAACCAGTAAGAATTCCGGCCCTCACAGACCTGTTAGTTTTTCTTTAAGAAGCCCTCCTGTTCTCCACTCATTACCTGTATTAACTGCACCTGTTTGAACTCGTTACCTGTATAAAAGACACCTGTCCACACACTCAATCAAACAGACTCCAACCTCTCCACAATGGCCAAGACCAGAGAGCTGTGTAAGGATATCAGGGATAAAATTGTAGACCTGCACAAGGCTGGGATGGGCTACAGGACAATAGGCAAGCAGCTTGGTGAGAAGGCAACAACTGTTGGCGCAATAATTAGAAAATGGAAGAAGTTCAAGATGACGGTCAATCACCCTCGGTCTGGGGCTCCATGCAAGATCTCACCTCGTGGGGCATCAATGATCATGAGGAAGGTGAGGGATCAGCCCAGAACTACACGGCAGGACCTGGTCAATGACCTGAAGAGAGCTGGGACCACAGTCTCAAAGAAAACCATTAGTAACACACTACGCCATCATGGATTAAAATCCTGCAGCGCACGCAAAGTCCCCCTGCTCAAGCCAGCGCATGTCCAGGCCCGTCTGAAGTTTGCCAATGACCATCTGGATGATCCAGAGGAGGAATGGGAGAAGGTCATGTGGTCTGATGAGACAAAAATAGAGCTTTTTGGTCTAAACTCCACTCGCCGTGTTTGGAGGAAGAAGAAGGATGAGTACAACCCCAAAAACACCATCCCAACCGTGAAGCATGGAGTTTCACGGTTTCCCAACCGTGAAACATCATTCTTTGGGGATGCTTTTCTGCAAAGGGGACAGGACGACTGCACCGTATTGAGGGGAGGATGGATGGGGCCATGTATCGCGAGATCTTGGCCAACAACCTCCTTCCCTCAGTAAGAGCATTGAAGATGGGTCGTGGCTGGATCTTCCAGCATGACAACGACCCGAAACACACAGCCAGGGTAACTAAGGAGTGGCTTCGTAAGAAGCATCTCAAGGTCCTGGAGTGGCCTAGCCAGTCTCCAGACCTGAACCCAATAGAAAATCTTTGGGAGGGAGCTGAAAGTCCGTATTGCCCAGCGACAGCCCCAAAACTTGAAGGATCTGGAGAAGGTCTGTATGGAGGAGTGGGCCAAAATCCCTGCTGCAGTGTGTGCAAACCTGGTCAAGACCTACAGGAAACGTATGATCTCTGTAATTGCAAACAAAGGTTTCTGTACCAAATATTAAGTTCTGCTTTTCTGATGTGTCAAATACTTATGTCATGCAATAAAATGCAAATTAATTACTTAAAAATCATACAATGTGATTTTCTGGATTTTTGTTTTAGATTCCGTCTCTCACAGTTGAAGTGTACCTATGATAAAAAATTACAGACCTCTACATGCTTTGTAAGTAGGAAAACCTGCAAAATCGGCAGTGTATCAAATACTTGTTCTCCCCACTGTATATGTATACATACACTGCTCAAAAAAATTAAGGGAACACTTAAACAACAATGTAACTCCAAGTCAATCACACTTCTGTGAAATAAAACTGTCCACTTAGGAAGCAACACTGATTGACAATATATTTCACATGCTGTTGTGCAAATGGAATAGACAACAGGTGGAAATTATAGGCAATTAGCAAGACACCCCCAATAAAGGACTGGTTTTGCAAGTGGTGACCACAGACCACTTCTCAGTTCCTATGCTTCCTGGCTGATGTTTTGGTCACTTTTGAATGCTGGCGGTGCTTTCACTCTAGTGGTAGCATGAGACGGAGTCTACAACCCACACAAGTGGCTCAGGTAGTGCAGCTCATCCAGGATGGCACATCAATGCGAGCTGTGGCAAGAAGGTTTGCTGTGTCTGTCAGCGTAGTGTCCAGAGCATGGAGGCGCTACCAGGAGACAAGCCAGTACATCAGGAGACGTGGAGGAGGCCGTAGGAGGGCAACAACCCAGCAGCAGGACTGCTACCTCCGCCTTTGTGCAAGGAGGAGCAGGAGGAGCACTGCCAGAGCCCTGCAAAATGACCTCCAGCAGGCCACAAATGTGCAAGTGTCTGCTCAAACGGTCAGAAACAGACTCCATGAGGGTGGTATGAGGGCCCGACGTTCACAGGTGGGGGTTGTGCTTACAGCCCAACACCGTGCAGGACGTTTGGCATTTGCCAGAGAACACCAAGATTGGCAAATTCGCCACTGGCGCCCTGTGCTCTTCACAGATGAAACCAGGTTCACACTGAGCACGTGACAGACGTGACAGAGTCTGGAGACGCCGTGGAGAACGTTCTGCTGCCTGCAACATCCTCCAGCATGACCGGTTTGGCAGTGGGTCAGTCATGGTGTGAGGTGGCATTTCTTTGGGGGGCCGCCCAGACCTCCATGTGCTCGCCAGAGGTAGCCTGACTGCCATTAGGTACCGAGATGAGATCCTCAGACCCCTTGTGAGACCATATGCTGGTGCGGTTGGCCCTGGGTTCCTCCTAATGCAAGACAATGCTAGACCTCATGTGGCTGGAGTGTGTCAGCAGTTCCTGCAAGAGGAAGGCATTGATGCTATGGACTGGCCCGCCCGTTCCCCAGACCTGAATCCAATTGAGCACATCTGGGACATCATGTCTCGCTCCATCCACCAACGCCACGTTGCACCACAGACTGTCCAGGAGTTGGCGGATGCTTTAGTCCAGGTCTGGGAGGAGATCCCTCAGGAGACCATCCGCCACCTCATCAGGAGCATGCCCAGGCGTTGTAGGGAGGTCATACAGGCACGTGGAGGCCACACACACTACTGAGCCTCATTTTGACTTGTTTTAAGGACATTACATCAAAGTTGGATCAGCCTGTAGTGTGGTTTTCCACTTTAATTTTGAGGGTGACTCCAAATCCAGACCTCCATGGGTTGATACATTTGATTTCCATTGATAATTTTTGTGTGATTTTGTTGTCAGCACATTCAATTATGTAAAGAAAAAAGTATTTAATAAGATTATTTAATTCATTCAGATCTAGGATGTGTTATTTTAGTGTTCCCTTTATTTTTTTGAGCAGTGTATATATGTATAGAAACATGGGATACAGACAATGACATTGATAGAAGTTACAATCTATCTGCAATATTAAGCTGATCTACCCCCTAAATAAATAATAATATAATATGCCATTTAGCAGATGCTTTTATCCAAAGCGACTTACAGTCATGTGTGCATACATTTTTACATATGGGTGGTCCCGGGGATCGAACCCACTACCCTGGCGTTACAAGCGCCATGCTCTACCAATTGAGCTACAGAGGACCATAACAGGGGCTTTGAAAAAACAAAGACGTCTGCGCTTAGACAGGCAGAACAATACTGATATTTTCCCCCACTAATTGGTATTTTGACCAATCAGATCAGCTCTGAAAAATATCAGATGTGAAAAATGTGATTGGTCCAACGACCAATTAAAGGAAAAAATATTGGGCTGCCTGTCTAAATGCAGTCTACATTAACATTTCACACAACGCATGCCTCAATTCAGGCAGTAAAAGTGATTTCTCACTCCCTGGACTAGCTTGGTTCATGTAAGATTTAAGGTCTCTTACCTCGAGCTACTTCCTGTCTGTGACAGCGTCGCCACATGGCTTCCTGTTTTGGCCGTTGTAGTCTTCAGTAAACTGGAAGGAGAGGTTTAGAAATCAGATATGGAATGGAAAGGCGGTTGTTTCCATAGAAAGTTAAGTCTATAGCTGTGTACAACTGCCTTGTCGTTCACCATTTGAAGAAGTGAAATATCCACACAGCCAAAATAACCATAAGTCCTCTATCGCACAAGTTGACTAGCAGCTGGTTGTAAATAGATAAGTTGGCACAATGACCTTAAAAAAACATTTTAAATTGGGGTGGGATTTTATTTGTTATATATTTTTTGCACGAACTCTGTTGATTGTCCGGTTTAAAAAAAAATAAAAAATGTGATCACAGCTTTTTAAAGTATATATGTTTGTGTCAGGCCTTAACAGCCAGCTTCCATTATAGAAAGGATCCCCCCTCTCCCCCTCTCCCTCTCCCTCCCCCTCCCCCTCTCCCTCCCTCCTCACCTGTTGTCTCTGGCCGTGTGGTCTCTCCGCTGATGGATCCTCTCTCTCTCCTGCCAGATGAGCAGGGTACCTGGTCTCCTCCTCTCCTCCAGGGTGGGACTGGAGGGGGACGGGTGTGACACACTGACACTGGACCTGGGAGAGGGAGAGAGAGGGGAGAAGGAGAGTGAAGGATATGGAGAAAGAGGGTGAGCATATAAAAGCACTGACACTGGACCTGGGAGAGGGAGAGAGAGGGGAGAAGGAGAGTGAAGGATATGGAGAAAGAGGGTGAGCATATAAAAGCACACTGACACTGGACCTGGGAGAGGGAGAGAGAGGGGAGAAGGAGAGGGAGAAGGAGTGGAAGGGATATGGAGAAAAGAGGGTGAGCATATAAAAGCACACTGACACTGGACCTGGGAGAGGGAGAGAGATGGGAGAAGGAGAGAGTAAAGGATATGGAGAAAGAGGGTGAGCATATAAAAGCACACTGACACTGGACCTGGGAGAGGGAGAGAGAGGGGAGAAGGAGAGTGAAGGATATGGAGAAAGAGGGTGAGCATATAAAAGCACACTGACACTGGACCTGGGAGAGGGAGAGAGAGGGGAGAAGGAGAGTGAAGGATATGGAGAAAGAGGGTGAGCATATAAAAGCACACTGACCACTGGACCTGGGAGAGGGAGAGAGAGAGGGAGAAGGAGAGTGAAGGATATGGAGGAAAGAGGGTGAGCATATAAAAGCACACTGACACTGGACCTGGGAGAGGGAGAGAGAGGGGAGAAGGAGAGTGAAGGATATGGAGAAAGAGGGTGAGCATATAAAAGCACACTGACACTGGACCTGGGAGAGGGAGAGAGAGGGGAGAAGGAGAGTGAAGGATATGGAGAAAGAGGGTGAGCATATAAAAGCACAGTGAATGGGAGCAAAAGTCAAAAAAGGGAGTGATGACCGAACAAATATTGCGCGGTGTCATATTGCGCGGTGGTGTCATATTGTTATGCATCAACATAGCCTCCCATTCAGTTGAAAACTGGCCAACTGTTGCTGTTGGTTGTAGTGGCTTGATGTCACATCAACCCATAACCAGCGTTTCCCAAACTCGGTCCAGGGGACCCCAAGGGGTGCACGTTTTGGTTTTTGCCCTAACACTACACAGCTGATTCAACTCATCATCAAGCTTTGATCGTTTGAATCAGCTGTGTAGTGCTAGGGCAAAAAACCAAAACATGCACCCCTTGGGGTGTCCAGGACCGAGTTTGGGAAACCCTGCCATAACCCTTCAATCCACTGATCTAACCACTGCAGCCAACCCAACAACCACAGGCAAACACATAGAAATGGGTGTGAGTAGTGGAGTACTCGAACGGTAAACAAAACCCGATCTTTAACCAGAGATATTTTTTAAAAATCAAATACTGTAAAACCATTTGTCTGATTTATTTCATAACTCATCAAAATTAAAAAAAAAAAATTATATTGAGATAGAGAGGGGTTAACTATCACATTGCAACTTCTATATTTAAAATGTCAAAATACGGTATAAAAATATATATTTTTCTCCCCCTCCCCAACAGGGTGCGTGTGTGTTCCCCCTGGTTGGGTCAGTCAGTGAGTGGTGTTAGTAATGGGAACCGCAGTCTGTTGACTTTTCCCAGCTCCTCAAACACTCCCTGAGAGGCTGACCTTGTAAAACAAGGCAGGGAGAGAGAGTGTGATCAAAAGAGTATCTGTCCTTTCCAATCTGAAAGGCTGACGGGCGGTTGCTGTGTATGAGACTGTGTACACATAGCCAGACAGTCAAACTGCTGAATCCGCAGTGAAACTGTTGCAGGAACAAGAGTCGAATATAATTGGCACTGACACACAAACACCACAATCACATACCCTTGTGGGTACATGGCTGAGAGTGAAGTTTCCTTGTGCAGTATCAATGCTGTGTGTGTGTGTGTGTGTGTGTGTGTGTGTGTGTGTGTGTGTGTGTGTGTGTGTGTGTCACAGGATGCTGCTGAGGGGAGGACGGCTCATAATAATGGCTGGAACGGAGCAAATGGAATGGCATCAAACACCATGGAAACCATGTGGTGAATGTATTTGATACCATTCCACTGATTTCGCGGCAGTCATTACCACGAGCCACCAACCTTGTGTGTGTGTGTGTGTGTGTGTGTGTGTGTGTGTGTGTTTGTGTGTGTGTGTCTCACCTGCTTCTAGAACAGTCTTGTGTTTGGGGAGGTGGTGAGGATTCCTTTGCATTCTCCTGAGAACAACACCATGTCGCCGTTAGATACACATCTACTCATCATAAAGACATGTATAACACATATAAGCATGAATAAAAGCCTTTATAAGCATTCATAAAAGGTGTTCTCCTAACCTGCGGGGGCGCTGTGGAGGGGGGAGTGGGACGATTCGTCCTGCACTCTTCCTCCTCATCGGTGACGCTGCGGTCTATGAAATGCACCTGCTCTGCCTCCCCATTCACTGTGAAAACCAAGAAAAGAGAGGGAGAGATGAGGAGGGGAGAGGAGAGGGGGAGGATGAAAGATATTACAGACAGTCAAATAACATTAGGGAATGTCTCGAAGGGTATTAAAATAGTGTAGCCTTTTTATTAGAAGAGGGAGAGGAGGATATGAACAGATTTAGGAGAACAGAGCACTATCCGTCTCTGAAAATAAAATTCCTGTTTTGTTACAATAAGCATGTTCCTTTCCTCAGTGAGTGGGCTAATATTTAATTTGTTATGGTTTTGAAGGGTGTATCAATACTGTGAATCTTTATTAGGGGACTGAGGATATGAGTCACTAGATGACATCACAAGGAGACCAGTCAGAAATAAAACCCATAGATTTACTTTACTACTCTCCCCGGTGACTATGTTCTTGCCCTGGTTTCCCGGTTCTAGAGCTGGTCTCCCGGACACAGATTTCAATGGAGAATCTAATGCGTTTGAGTCCAGGAGTAGGCTAAATGTGTGTCTGAGAAGGCGGCCCGTAACGTCTGAGATGGTTGTAAGGGGTTAGCTGGAACCGAAAGCCTGTAGCTCTGCAGGACCTGGGTGTGTGACTTCCTGATGCTATAATGTGTGATGGGGTTTTAGTTCGAGCTCACTCCTCACCCGTGTCTGGGGTCTCTGTGAGGGAAGAGTCGTCCTCCACCTCTTCCTCCAGGTTCCTCTGGTCTCTGGTGAGCTCGGCCATGCGCAGGGACCGCTCCGAGAAGTCATCTGCAGACTGGACACACAGATAGAGAAGGAGAGAGCGGGACACGTACACTACCAGTCAAAAAGGTTTGGACACACCTACTCATTCAAGGCTTTTTGTTTATTTTCTACATTGTAGAATAATAGTGAAGACATCAAAACTATGACACAACACATATGGAATCATGTAGTAACCAAAAAAGTGTTAAACAAATCAAAATATATTTTATATTTGAGATTCTTCAAATAGCCACCCTTTGCCTTGATGACAGCTTTGCACACTCTTGGCATTCTCTCAACCAGCTTTATGATGTAGTCACCTAGAATGCATTTCAATTAACAGGTGTGCCTTCTTAAAAGTTAATTTTTTGGAATTTATTTCCTTCTTAATGTGTTTGAGCCAATCAGTTGTGTTGTGACACGGTAGGGGGGGGTATACAGAAGATATCCCTATTTGGTAAAAGACCAAGTCCATATTATGGCAAGAACAGCTCAAATAAACAAAGAGAAACAACAGTCCATCATTACGTTAAGACATGAAGGTCAGTCAATACGCAACATTTCAAGAACTTTGAAAGTTTCTTCAAGTACAGTCGCAAAAAACCATCAAGCGCTATGATGAAACTGGCTCTCATGAGGACCGACACAGGAATGGAAGACCCAGAGTTACCTCTGCTGCAGAGGATAAGTTCATTGGAGTTACCAGCCTCACAAATTGCAACACAAATAAATGCTTCAGAGTTCAAGTAACAGACACATCTCAACATCAACTGTTCAGAGGAGACTGCGTGAATCAGGCCTTCATGGTCGAACTGCTGCAAAGAAACCACCACTAAAGGACACCAATAAGAAGAAGAAACCTGCTTGGGCCAAGAAACACCAGCAATGGACATTAGACCGGTGGAAAACTGTCCTTTGGTCTGGAGTCCAAATTGGAGATTTTTGGTTCCAACCACCGTGTCTTTGTGAGATGCGGTGCGGGTGAACGGATGATCTGTGCATGTGTATTTCCCACCGTAAAGAATGGAGGAGGTGGTGTTATGGTGTGGGGGTGCTTTGCTGGTGACACTATCTGTGATTTATTTAGAAATCAAGGCACACTTAACCAGCATGGCTACCACGCCATCCCATCTGGTTTGGGCTTAGTGGGACTATCATTTGTTTTTCAACAGGACAATGACCCAACACACCTCCAGGCTGTGTAAGGGCTATTTTACCAAGAAAGAGAGTGATGGAGTGCTGCATCAGATGACCTGGCCTCCACAATCCCCCGACCTCAACCCAATTGAGATGCTTTGGGATGAGTCGGACCGCAGAGTGAAGGAAAAGCAGCCAACAAGTGCTCAGCATATGTGGGAACTCCTTCAAGACTGTTGTAAAAGCATTCCAGGTGAAGCTGGTTGAGAGAATGCCAAGAGTGTGCAAAGCTGTCGTCAAGGCAAAGGGTGGCTATTTGAAAATAAAATATATTTTGATTTGTTTAACACTTTTTTGGTTAATAGTTTTGATGCCTTCACTATTATTCTACAATGTAGAAAATAGTAAAAAAAATAAAGAAAATCCCTTGAATGAGTAGGTGTGTCCAAACATTTGACTGCTTCTGTAGGTCTGACACATTGATTTAGGGCAGATGGTAGTACCACCGTTCTTCACGCAAGGTAGAGAGACACACGCACACAAAGAGATAATTGCAAGGTAGTAACACCACAAACTAACTCGGACTCTGGTTGCCTCACCTCGTTCCCAGACCATCTCTTGCTGCCGCTGTCCACACTGTTGAAGCCAGAGTCCAAACCTCCATACTGACCTGAGAACAACTCATGGTCCGACAGACTGTAGGGGAGACATTAGGACCACACACACACACACAAACACACAAACACACACACACACACACACACACAAACACACGCACGCACGCACACACAAACACATCAGTATTCAGCACACACACACACTAGTGCTGCGTGGGTTAACTCATAACCCGCAGTCCCCGTGGTTATATCCGTGGTGGCGTTAAATAAAACAATGCATTAAAAATCCATAAAATGTATAACACTTGTGCAAATTCATATCTACAGGATACATTTAGACTTTTCTTTCATTATTTGTATCTGGCATGTGTGTAAGCCCAAGCTTTAGTGCTTCCTGAAACCTGGCACAGTGGACGCTCTACTGTTTCTCAACAGTGCTGCAAGCGAAAGACAAAGTAGGCGATTACAGCCTCATAACTGGACAGTGCGTACTTCGATATTCTAAACTTCGATGGGGTTATAGCCTATTTTCTAAGACTTTTTTTTATTTTTTATTTTTATTCAATGTTTTATTTAATTCATATGCTGGTATAGGCTATTAGCCCACACAGGCAGTCGGCCTACAAGAGGTCCATTTATTGTTTCACATTGTGTTTAGTTTCAGCATAACCATTGGCTACTGTTCAATAAGCCTTTTCAAATGAATAGGCCTAGATGCTCAAGAAAAACACAATTGTTCAATAAATTATTCAAGGATAGTAGCCTAATTGTACAGTGTATTTTCACAAAAGCATACGCAAGGTGTAAGTTCAGGTTGTTTGACATTTTTGTGTTTCAGCAAAACATTAGGCTACTGTTCGCAATAGGCATAAATAGTTGATAAATAAAATGTTCAAGAAGAACATTATTCTTCAGTAAATGTTCAAGAGAAAAAAAGGGAACTGTATGGCGCATTTTCTATATTTGCAGGTTGGGTCGGTACTGTAATATCCTTTCTTCTATTGACTCACCAGCTGTACAAGCCGGTAGGTCTCGGCAGTCACCAGCTGTACAAGCCGGTAGGTCTCGGCAGTCACCAGCTGTACAAGCCGGTAGGTCTCGGCAGTCACCAGCTGTACAAGCCGGTAGGTCTCGGCAGTCACCAGCTGTACAAGCCGGTAGGTCTCGGCAGTCACCAGCTGTACAAGCCGGTAGGTCTCGGCAGTCACCAGCTGTACAAGCCGGTAGGTCTCGGCAGTCACCAGCTGTACAAGCCGGTAGGTCTCGGCAGTCACCAGCTGTACAAGCCGGTAGGTCTCGGCAGTCACCAGCTGTACAAGCCGGTAGGTCTCGGCAGTCACCAGCTGTACAAGCCGGTAGGTCTCGGCAGTCACCAGCTGTACAAGCCGGTAGGTCTCGGCAGTCACCAGCTGTACAAGCCGGTAGGTCTCGGCAGTCACCAGCTGTACAAGCCGGTAGGTCTCGGCAGTCACCAGCTGTACAAGCCAGTAGGTCTCGGCAGTCACCAGCTGTACAAGCCAGTAGGTCTCGGTAGTCACCAGCTGTACAAGCCAGTAGGTCTCGGTAGTCACCAGCTGTACAAGCCAGTAGGTCTCGGAAGTCACCAGCTGTACAAGCCAGTAGGTCTCGGTAAGTCACCAGCTGTACAGCCAGTAGGTCTCGGTAGTCACCAGCTGTACAAGCCAGTAGGTCTCGGTAGTCACCAGCTGTACAAGCCAGTAGGTCTCGGTAGTCACCAGCTGTACAAGCCAGTAGGTCTCGGTAGTCACCAGCTGTACAAGCCAGTAGGTCTCGGTAGTCACCAGCTGTACAAGCCAGTAGGTCTCGGTAGTCACCAGCTGTACAAGCCAGTAGGTCTCGGTAGTCACCAGCTGTACAAGCCAGTAGGTCTCGGTAGTCACCAGCTGTACAAGCCAGTAGGTCTCGGTAGTCACCAGCTGTACAAGCCAGTAGGTCTCGGTAGTCACCAGCTGTACAAGCCAGTAGGTCTCGGTAGTCACCAGCTGTACAAGCCGGTATGTCTCAGTAGTCACCAGCTGTACAAGCCAGTAGGTCTCAGTAGTCACCAGCTGTACAAGCCAGTAGGTCTCGGTAGTCACCAGCTGTACAAGCCAGTAGGTCTCAGTAGTCACCAGCTGTACAAGCCAGTAGGTCTCAGTAGTCACCAGCTGTACAAGCCAGTAGGTCTCAGTAGTCACCAGCTGTACAAGCCAGTAGGTCTCGGTAGTCACCAGCTGTACAAGCCAGTAGGTCTCAGTAGTCACCAGCTGTACAAGCCAGTAGGACTCGGTAGTCACCAGCTGTACAAGCCAGTAGGTCTCGGTAGTCACCAGCTGTACAAGCCAGTAGGTCTCAGTAGTCACCAGCTGTACAAGCCAGTAGGTCTCAGTAGTCACCAGCTGTACAAGCCAGTAGGTCTCGGTAGTCACCAGCTGTACAAGCCGGTATGTCTCAGTAGTCACCAGCTGTACAAGCCAGTAGGTCTCGGTAGTCACCAGCTGTACAAGCCAGTAGGTCTCGGTAGTCACCAGCTGTACAAGCCAGTAGGTCTCAGTAGTCACCAGCTGTACAAGCCAGTAGGTCTCAGTAGTCACCAGCTGTACAAGCCAGTAGGTCTCGGTAGTCACCAGCTGTACAAGCCAGTAGGTCTCGGTAGTCACCAGCTGTACAAGCCAGTAGGTCTCAGTAGCCACTCCAAGTCCATTTGGTTTTTCTTTGTCATCCCTTACTGATCTGTTATTATTCATTGATGTATGTGATTCCTCTGCCATCTCCCTCCATCCTTCCCTCTCATCGTGTAATTAACTGTTAGATTAAAAGGTCAATTAAGTCAATAGATCAACTCTCTATCTCGTCTCCTCCCTCCCCTCCTCCTTCTCCTCTCCCTCCCTTCCCCTCTCACCAGCTATTAAACCCTGTAGGTCTCAGGGCTCTCTCCAGCTCCTCCTGGCTCCTCTTGCAGGCCTCGATGTTGAGGAACTTGAAGATGTGGTACTTCCCCTTGGAGCAGATCTGGGCGGGCGGCTGCTGCAGGGGGTTGTTGTCCAAGACTATGGTCTGGAGTTGGCGCAGGTGACGGTAACACACGGGCACGCGGGAGATGTGGTTACAGGACACGTCTAACCGGACCAGGGGCAACTCGGACAACTCTGAGAGGTAGAGAGCTGTAGTTTAGTGTCAAGCTGATATCTAATCATCATGGAAATTACTGTATCATGGGAAATAATAAAAAATACACTTTTGTCACTATCAAGTCAATGCTTTGATAGCCTTGAGGGGAAGGGGGGGGGGGACTTTCATTTGAACTATGATTTAGCAATTATGTTTTATTCAATTCACATAAGGCCTGAAACAACTTTTCTCAAACCGTGTCGACTCAAATGGAGGTGTTTCAGTGGTTGTAACCCATGTTATCTTGTTCTGAGAACCTGGAGGTTGGAGGGGAGCTCAGGGCAGGATTAGCGGATGGAGGGGCGCTATGAGGCCAGAGCTATACCGGCACCGTACAGGTCACACGGTCACAGGCAGCAGGCTTGTTTCACTGTGGGATTTCAGTGCCGTTGTTTACAACTACTGTATTGGTTTGTTTGGGTTAAAGCATCTGGTAGTGGTAGTCTGGTTTGTTTCACAACAGGGTCAGAGAGGAGATATCAGGGGAAGTAGAGTGTTATCATCTAGGTTAGGAACAGTTGGACTTATGCCTAATTTATACACTATATACACAAAGGTATGTGGAAACCCCTTTCAAAATGAGTGGATTCGGCTATTTCAGCCACACCCGTTGCTGACAGGTGTATAATGTCGAGCACACAGCCATGCAATCTCCATAGACAAACATTGGCAGTAGAATGCCCTTACTGAAGAGCTCAGTGACTTTCAACGTGGCACCGTCATAGGATGCCACCTTTCCAACAAGTCAGTTCGTCAAATGTCTAGGCCCCTTAGTTCCAGTGAAGGGAAATCTTAACGCTACAGTATACAATGACATTCTAGACGATTCTGTGCTTCCAACTTTGTGGCAACAGTTTGGGGAAGGCCCTTTCCTGTTTCAGCATGACAATGCCCCCGTGCACAAAGTGAGGTCCCTACAGGAATGGTTTGTCGAGATCGGTGTGGAAGAACTTGACTGGCCTGCACAGAGCCCTGACTTCAGCCCCATCGAACAACTTTGGGATGAATTGGAACGCCGACTGCGAGCCAGGCCTAATCGCCCAACACCAGTGCCCAACCTCACTAATGCTCTTGTGGCTGAATGGACACGCTGACACACAGAGGTGTATTAGCAGTGGTATTCAAAGTCAGGGTCACGACCCCTAGTGCGGTCGTGGGTAAACTGCAGCGGCGGGGGGTTGCCAAATTGTTTTAGGAATAAAAAAAATGTGGAATACAGATTATTGTATGGGACAATATACAAATGTTTTTGAGAAAGATAAATTAGAAAAATTACATTTGATAGACTAAATGTATTTATTGGTTTCTTTTCATTTTGATAAGAGATTAAAAAATGTTATGAATTGAAGGTTATTTTTTGATTTAAAAATGTACAGATTTGAAAGGGATAATCCACCCCAAACCACTAATTCCCATGATTAATAGTGTTAAACAACACTAATATGTGAAAACAATATTTTTGGTGAACAAATGTTACATTTTGTCATTATAAAAAGGTTGGTAGCAACATGCAAAAATTGTTGTGGAAATCTTTTGCTGCTCAAGTTGACTAGAAACCCCACAATGCAATGCTCCCTCTCTGGGATGGCTGGCTCGCTAGCTACATACAATAATACCAGTCAATATCAGCATGTGAAGGAGCTAGTTAGCTGTAAAATCGCCTAAAACAAACTGCCCTATCAATTTAGGAGTCTCTCACCCGAGTTCAACTCGCAGTTCGCCCAGAGCGATGCAGAGTACGTTGCTATGACGACAACAGCCCTTTCCCACAGACACACAGGGCGCATTGCGAGATGGTACTTGAAGGCGAAACATGAGTTGAATAATTTGGTACGCCATTTAGATTGAGCACATCTAAGCAAAATATATATACTTTATCATGACGATATTAAAAAAAACGGATGGATGTGTTCTTGACAAGTATGGCCATGGGGTCCCCCGCTGAAAAAGTTTGAATACCACCGGTATATACGGTGTACGTAGGGGTCAAAGGTCAGGGGTGTGTGTGTGTGTGTGTTTGTCTCTCACCCTCTGGCAGCGTAGTGAGCTGGTTCCTCCTCAGGTTGAGATCTCTCAGGCACTCCAGCTGACCCAGCTCCACAGGCAAACACTGCAGGCCATTACAACTCACATCCTATAGGACAGAGGAAAACCAGTTCATCAAAAGTGTAACGGCAACCCAGGCCTCGACTACACCCCCAAAGAGTATGCAAGAAAGAAGGTCAAGAGAGAGAGAGAGAGAAAGAGAGAGAGAGAGAGAGAGAGAGATAGAGAGAGAGAGAAGGGGGAGGTAAAGAAGGGAGAGTGAGGGAAAAGGGGCTATAGGTCAGAAAGGAGAAGCAGCATATTAGAAATGTGGGTGGGGTGGGGGGGAGACAGATAGACAGACAGGACAGAGAAAGGAAGAGTGAGACAGGACTGAAAAATGAATGAGACAGACAGGACTGTGAGCCAGCCAGTGAGGGCAGAGAGAGGAACAGATAGACAGCAGGAGAGAGGGGAGAGGAACAGAGTACCTAAAGCAAACATGACCACAGTAACAGACTACAAGAGAGATAGCTAGAGAAAAGAGAGAGAGACATTGACAGATACCTAGAGAAAAACAGAGAGATCAGACAGCCCTGTGCGGTGGGTAGTGGGTAACCCGAGGCGTGGGTAGTGGGTAACCTGAGGCGTGGGTAGTGGGTAACCTGAGGCGTGGGTAGTGGGTAACCTGAGGCGTGGGTAGTGGGTAACCTGAGGCGTGGGTAGTGGGTAACCTGAGGCGTGGGTAGTGGGTAACCTGAGGCGTGGGTAGTGGGTAACCTGAGGCGTGGGTAGTGGGTAACCTGAGGCGTGGGTAGTGGGTAACCTGAGGCGTGGGTAGTGGGTAACCTGAGGCGTGGGTAGTGGGTAACCTGAGGCGTGGGTAACCTGAGGCGTGGGTAACCTGAGGCGTGGGTAACCTGAGGCGTGGGTAGTGGGTAACCTGAGGCGTGGGTAGTGGGTAACCTGAGGCGTGGGTAGTGGGTAACCTGAGGCGTGGGTAGTGGGTAACCTGAGGCGTGGGGTAGTGGGTAACCTGAGGCGTGGGTAGTGGGTAACCTAAGGCGTGGGTAGTGGGTAACCTGAGGCGTGGGTAACCTGAGGCGTGGGTAACCTGAGGCGTGGGTAACCTGAGGCGTGGGTAACCTGAGGCGTGGGTAGTGGGTAACCTGAGGCGTGGGTAGTGGGTAACCTGAGGCGTGGGTAGTGGGTAACCTGAGGCGTGGGTAGTGGGTAACCTGAGGCGTGGGTAGTGGGTAACCTGAGGCGTGGGTAACCTGAGGCGTGGGTAACCTGAGGCGTGGGTAGCGGGTAACCTGAGGCGTGGGTAGTGGGTAACCTGAGGCGTGGGTAGTGGGTAACCTGAGGCGTGGGTAACCTGAGGCGTGGGTAGCGGGTAACCTGAGGCGTGGGTGTGTATTACTACGTACCAGCTGTCTGAGGTGTGTGAGGGTGTGTATGGATCTGGGCAGGGCCGACAGCTTGTTGTTGCTGACGATCAGGACTCGCAGGAGGGGCAGCTGACAGACCGAGGGGGGCAGGCTGGAGAGAAGGTTACGGCTGCAAAGACAGACACACAGAACAATGATGAATAGTCATACACGCAGGCAACTGAACGAGTGCAAGGAGTTGAAAAGCGCTGTGTGCTACCTGAGGTTGAGGTAGGTGAGAGCCTGTAGGTGGCAGAGGCTGGGGGTGAGGGAGCGAACACAGTTGTGATACAAGCTGAGCGTCTCCAAGGAGATGAACTGGCACAGCTCCTCTGGCAGCTCACACAGACGGTTCTTTGACAGGTCTGAAACAAGAAGAACCAATCACACAGTCAATAATACTGGTATATTGGACAACGGCAACCAATCACAGTCAATAATATTGCCATGAGAAACAAAGAGAACCAATCACAGTCAATGATACTGAAATAAAAGACAAAAAGGACCAAATCACAGTCAATGATTATACAGTTGAAGTCGGAAGTTTACATACACTTAGGTTGGAGTAATAAAAACTTGTTCTTCAACCACTCCACAAATGTCTTATTAACAAACTATAGTTTTGGCAAGTCGGTTAGGACATCTACTTTGTGCATGACACAAGTAATTTTTCCAACAATTGTTTACAGACAGATGATTTCACTTATAATTCACTGTATCACATTTCCAGTGGGTCAGAAGTTTACATACACTAAGTTGACTGTGCCTTTAAACAGCTTGGAAAATTCCAGAAAATGATGTCATGGCTTTAGAAGCTTCTGATAGGCTAATTGACATCATTTGAGTCAATTGGAGGTGTACCTGTGGATATATTAAAACAGTGTCTCTTTGCTTGACATCATGGGAAAATCAAAAGTAATCAGGCAAAACCTCAGAAAATAAATTGTAGACCTCCATCCTTGGGAGCAATTTCCAAACGCCTGAAGGTACCACGTTTATCTGTACAAACAATAGTACGCAAGTATAAACACCATGGGACCACGCAGCCGTCATACCGCTCAGGAAGGAGACGCTTTCTGTCTCCTAGAGATGAACGTACTTTGGTGCGAAAAGTGCAAATCAATCCCAGAACAACAGCAAAGGACCTTGTGAAGATGCTGGAGAAAACAGGTACAAAATTATCTATATCCACAGTAAAACGAGTCCGATATCGACATAACCTGAAAGGCCCCTCAGCGAGGAAGAAGCCATTGCTCCAAAACCGCCATAGAAAAGCCAGACTACGGTTTGCAACTGCACATGGGGACAAAGATCGTACCTTTTGGAGAAATGTCCTCTGGTCTGATGAAACCAAAATAGAACTGTTTGGCCATAATTATCATCGTTATGTTTGGAGGAAAAAGGGGGATGCTTGCAAGCCGAAGAACACCATCACAACCGTGAAGCACGGGAGTGACAGCATCATGCTGTGGGGGTGCTTTGCTGCAGGAGGGACTGGTGCACTTCACAAAATAGACGGCATCATGAGGAAGGAAAATTATGTGGATATATTGAAGCAACATCTCAAGACATCAGTCAGTAAGTTAAAGCTTGGTCGCAAATGGGTCTTCCAAATGGACAATGACCCCAAGCATACTTCCAAAGTTGTGGCAAAATGGCTTAAGGACAACAAAGTCAAGGTATTGGAGTGGCCATCACAAAGCCCTGACCTCAATCCTATAGAACATTTGTTGGCAGAACTGAAAAAGCGTGTGCGAGCAAGGAGGCCTACAAACCTGACTCAGTTACACCAGCTCTGTCAGGAGGAATGGATCAAAATTCACCCAACTTATTGTGGGAAGCTTGTGGTAGGCTACCTGAAACGTTTGACCCAAGTTAAACAATTTAAAGGCAATTCTACCAAATACTAATTGAGTGTATGTAAACTTCTGACCCACTGGGAATGTGATGAAAGAAATAAAAGCTGAAATTAAATAATTCTCTCTACTATTATTCTGACATTTCACATTCTTAAAATAAAGTGGTGATCCTAACTGACCTAAAACAGGGAATTTTTACTAGGATTAAATGTCAGGAATTGTGAAAAACTGAGTTTAAATGTATTTGGTTAAGGTGTATGTAAACTTCCGACTTCAACTGTAAATCCATGAGAAACAAAAAGGACCAATCACACATCAAATGATACTGACATGAGAGACAAAAAGGACCAATTAAATGAATGGATCGTCGGACCAGTACACAATCCACAAGAAAAAGAGACCAAAAGAGGATAATTCACTACCATTGTAATATGGGTTGGTGGGTGAATGAATAACACAGGGAGAGAGACCCAAACTAGCCGCTGACTGACCTGGACAAAGACAAGTACACAAGGTTCATGGGCATCGACAGCAGTCATACTCGTAGTTTGATATTTTGGATTCTTCATCATGCAATATGAATGCATTTGAACCAGGGAAGAAAATAAAAAAAAATCCCTTTCCAAAGCATTGGCCAAAAATGAACAAAGAGCTCAAAGACTACACTGACCGATCCTGGCAGACAGGACTCCACCTCAAAGACTACACTGACCGATCCTGGCAGACAGGACTCCACCAAGGCCATGTGTCCGTTTTTGAGCACAGACAAAATGTGTTTTTTTTTCTCCAAATATAGGCTGAATAGCCTGCTTTGCAGCTGCAGCACCTTGCTGGATGAATGAATGGATGGATGCCCCAGTCAACTGTCTCTCAACATTATCTCCCTCTCTCCCTCCCTCTCTCTCTCCCTCCTCACTCTCTCGCTCCCTCTCCCTCTCTCTTACTCTCATCCAAGTTCTCTTCCCAACATTTGTCTCCTTTTAGCGCTATCATTGTTTTTCTTAGCTCTTGCCAGTTTCTCATGTTGCTAACTCTCCCACCCTCTCTTCCTTTGTGTGGCCTGTCTTCCCCTCCTCTCCCTGTAAAGGAGGGTTGGGGCGGGCAGTGTTCTCCGGCCTCACCGAGCGTGCGGAGCATGGAGAATTTGACCGTGGAGCTCCGTATAGGCCCTGTAACCGAGCTTGTGTGTGTGGGGGTGTATACTGTGTGTGTGCATACATACAGTGCATTCTGAAAGTATTCAGACCCCTTGACTTTTTCCACATTTTGTTACGTTACAGCCTTATTCTAAAATCGATTTTTTTTTTATCCTCAAGCTACACACAATAACCCATAATTACAAAGCAAAAACAGGTTTTTAGAGATTTTTTACGTAAGTATTCAGACCCTCTACTCAGTACTTTGTTGAAGCACCATTGGCAGCGATAACAGCCTCGAGTCTTCTTGGATATGACTCTACAAGCTTGGCACACCTGTATTTGGGGAGTTTCTCCCATTCTTCTCTGCAGATCCTCACAAACGCTGTCAGGTTGGATGGGGAGCGTCGCTGCACAGCCATTTTCAATCTATCCAGAGATGTTCGACCGGGCTCTGGCTGGGCCAATCAAGGACATTGAAACTTGTCCCAAAGCCACTCCTGCGTTGTCTTGGCTGTGTGCTTAGGGTCGTTGTCCTGTTGGAAGGTGAACCTTCGCCCCAATCTGAGGTCCTGAGCGCGCTGGAGCAGGTTTTCATCAATGATCTCTCTGTACTTTGTTTCGTTCATCTTTCCCTCGATCCTGACTAGTCTCCCAGTCCCTGCCGCTGAAAATAATCCCCACAGCATGATGCTGCCACCACCATGCTTCACCGTAGGGATGGTGCCAGGTTTCCTCCAGATGTGACGCTTGGCATTCAGTCCAAAGAGTTTCATCTTGGTTTCATCAGACCAGAGAATCTTGTTTCTCATTGTCCGAGAGTCCTTTAGGCAAACTCCAAGCAAAATAATCTAAAAACATGTTTTCGCTTTGTCATTATGGGGTATTGTGTGTAGATTGATGAGGGAAATGTTTTATTTAATCAATTTTAGAATAAGGCTGTAATGTAACAGAATGTGGAAAAAGGGAGTGGGGTCTGAATACTTTCCGAATGCACTTTATTTTCGTCTCTCATGTCTATGTATGGCTGTGGTCAGAGTGCTCCAGGACAGTGCTGTGGTCACAGTGCTCCAGGACAGTGCTCCAGGACAGGGTAGGGAAAAGCTGGCTTTAATAAAAGGCAGCGGTGGAAAAAAGTATCCAATTGTCATACTTGAGTAAAAGTAAAGATAACTTAATAGAAAATGACTCAAGTTGACACGGTCGCCAGCTGTACTGGGTTTCCTCCGACACATTGGTGCGGCTGGCTTCCAGGTTAAGCGAGCAGTGTGTCAAGAAGCAGTGCGGCTTGGCAGGGTCGTGTTTCGGCGGAAGCATGGCTCTCGACCGTCGCATCTCCCGACTCCGTAAGGGAGTTGTAGCGACGGGACAAGACTAACTACCAATTGGATATCACGAAATTAGGCAGAAAAAGGGGTAAAAAGTAAAATAATTACATTTAAAAAAAAGAGTTGTACAAAATATAAATACTAAAGTAGATACCCAAAAGAAACACTTAAGTATTACTTTAAAGTATTTTTATTTAAGTACTTTACACCCCTGATAAAAGGCGTTTCATTATGCTGACCAGAATAACTGTTTCACATCCTCCATTAAATGGAAGACAACATTTCAGCGGAACCCGCAATCCTGACTGTGTGTGTTAGTGTGTGTGTGTGTGTTACTGTGTGTGTGTGTGTTAGTGTGTGTGTCTTGTGGTCCACCCAGCAGCTAAGGGCACTAAGGGTGACTGTGTGTGTTAGTGTGTGTGTGTGTGTTACTGTGTGTGTGTGTGTTAGTGTGTGTGTGTCTTGTGGTCCACCCAGCAGCTAAGGGCACTAAGGGTGACTGTGTGTGTTAGTGTGTGTGTGTGTGTGTTACTGTGTGTGTGTGTGTTAGTGTGTGTGTGTCTTGTGGTCCACCCAGCAGCTAAGGGCACTAAGGGTGACTGTGTGTGTTAGTGTGTGTGTGTGTGTTAGTGTGTGTGTGTGTGTTACTGTGTGTGTGTGTGTGTGTGTGTCTTGTGGTCCACCCAGCAGCTAAGGGCATTAGGAGTGACTGTGTGTAGTACGAGGTGTGTCTATAGTAACCAGGAAAGAGAGTGTACATGTCCATACAATAGCTATGCAAAGTGCGTGCGAGATCTTACAATGGCTACCATAAAAATAAAAAAAATAAAAAAGTGGTTGTCCCACTGGCTATGATAAGTTGAATGCACCAATTTGTAAGTCGCTCTGGATAAGAGCGTCTGCTAAATGATGTAAATGTATTAGGAGTGTATCTCTTGCGTATACTGTACCAGTCATAGTTTTGGACACACCTACTCATTCAAGGGTTTTTCTTAATTTTTTACTATTTTCTACATTGTAGAATAATAGTGAAGACATCAAAACTATGAAATAACACATATGGAATCTTGTAGTAACCAAAAAGTGTTAAACAAATCAAAATATATTTTATATTTGAGATAGTTCAAATTGCCACCCTTTGCCTTAATGAC